GCTCAATTCCACAGTGCTTCGTCTCCAGTTGCTGGAAACTCATTAGGGAACAGCGGGTGGATAGTCAAGTCACTAGGTCAGATTAGATGCACGTAATACCACTAGAGCCTATCAAAAGCTGAACATAGAATTTATGGCATATTTTTTTATTCGGCTATTATTAGAAGTTTACTGCTGCCATCTCTTGGCTCGTTTCCTTCAGTCGATTCTTACGACACCAACGGGACGACACAGGGAAGTGGATATACTTTTAACGCCAGTATTCACTGCTAATGTAATTTTGGAGAAATGAAATAAATTAATATTATTAAACTATTATTGTTATATATTGTTTAGTTTGCGCTAGTTGTTTATAGTAAGAAAACTCAATGTCTTGCAAATGCGCAATGATAATAGGTACTAAGTTATACTGACAAATGATATTTATATAATAAGATGGAACGTAGTGACCATGGAGGTTAAAGAACAGGAGAACGATCGCTACGCACTAAAGCATAGCCCGCCTGTCCTTGAAAATTGTAGAATGTATAGCGGCGCTGGCGTCGGTGAGTAGTGACTGCGAAGTTGGCTGTTTATGAGTACAAGTAGATGAAGTTAGTTGTATAATGTACAAATTTTCTCCGCGGCATTGGTGAGAAAATTTTCATGCTCCGTAATTTTCTAATTTTTGACAAAAAGAAACATTAAAAAATAGATAAATATTTTATTGTGCGTGGATGTGCTAGTGGTTTAGCATCTGATCGGGAAAAAAAGACTGAAAATGACTTTTATTGAGCGAACTTACCGATCGCAGCGCCTCCGGTGTTTATATTTCTAGGACACTATTTTCTACGGCGATCGTTCTCCTGTTCTCTAACCTCCATGATGGTGACAAAGATGACGTCCACCGATATCGACAAAGAACCAGCTGTGCAGTAAAAATTGTAACGCAACAAATGTACTCGCCATCACAGATTCACTCATATCTCAGCTTTTAATTGTCTCCTGATGGAATACACTATCAAAACGTAGGGGCAATCACAACACAAACAGAACCAAAAAAACTATAATTTATTTTTGCCCGATAAGATTCGAACCCAGGACCTGCGAAAAAGGATCTCCGTACTTTAGCCATTCAGCCACACTATGATCAAACAGGCACCATGTAAAACCAGGCAGGAAGTGAAAGGAACCTTATCGCAGACAACACGTGGCACAAAGGTCAGAAATACTTTAAAAGAGCAGAACATCTGAAAACATCGAAATGATAAGTTTATTCGAAATAATTAGGTCCATTGCATTACATTACAAACGAAACGCATTAATTCTGTCAGTTAATTACAGTTTTTCATTTGCCATTTGGAATTGTTCCATAAGTGACTGGAATTATTAAAAATTTCAAAATATACTTTTTCATGCATACTTTTTTATAACCTGTATTCTGCATTCTACCATCACAATGACGACACCGCCGCGCTCTCACATCAACCCAATATTCTCGAAGTGCAGACGAGTTGACGAGTCTAGTTAGGCAGCCTAGAGATTTATTGTCATTTTTTATTTGGTCTGTCGAGGGAGGATAGAGTAAAGGCTAATTTCATTTCAATTCAGTGCATGATATAAAACTCAGTTTTTTAATTCAAGCGAGTGCAATCGTCAACGTCAAAATCCAATGACATTGCACCAGCGATCGTTACGCAAATACAAACTATTTTCATCCAACATTTTATATAATTTTACATCTATATTAGCTTAGGTGTCGAATTTAAAATACTTATACATTAAACTACAAACAAAGTCAAATAATACAAAACGATCACATCGTGTGATGCTTACAAGCAATGTGATATAGGAAGAGAGTATGGTTAATAAAAAATTATGATTTTATTATTAATAGCATTAACTAAATTTGGATATTTATGACTAAATGGGCGTTAAATTAAATAATATGTAATCGTCTATACAAACATGACTGGTGAGCTTATAAAACAATACAATAGTGTATTAGAAGACTAAATAAAGAAAATAGCACATGTTGTGGCCATATAGAGCATTTCGCGTCGCTCACGCGCAACGTACACACACTCGCACCATACAAAAGTAACAAACTATGTATATAGTTAATTATATATTATTGTTCTTTATATACATAACGCCTGACTCCGCGCGCCTCGCCGCGTTAAGGCAAACGGTGTGCTTGCTCAGCTCATACATAATACATAGAGATATAATTTATGATATTTACAAAACATAGTAGGTAGTCGGTTATAAAATATTAAAGCACCTGATTTTTGTAACGTAAATCGTTAAAGTTAAAGCGTGTTTTAGTCGTTTACAATGAAAAATGATCTACAACGTGTTTAATATTTTGCGTTGTTACAAATATTATGTATAAACATTTAATATACGAACGCAACTCTAGGCCAATAAACAAACACGATCAGTCCGCTAGGTAAAAACTTATAATAATAAATTGTCCCTAAAGTAAAAACTAATGATATGAATATTAGAATTTTGACTATCTAAAATTATGTTATTAAATAATAGTTTTCCTTTGTAAAATGTAAGCGAGTGCGCACGAAGCGAGGCGCGAGGCGGACCCCTCCTTAAATAATGCCTTTTGTCAAACATGTTAAGCGTACACTTCAGGACAAGACTCCTAGGAAATATCCTTCGACATTAACGTGGTTTCCTCCGTTTTAAATTTATTAAATTTAAATTCACTAAAACCACTAAATAAACTTATTGTATACTACGTACAATTATTACACTACGAGAGTAGATCAAGAGTACTAGATATTTGTTAAGGTTTAACCATCGTCTTCTGAACTCCGTTGCCGCCGTCCTGACGAAATATATTTTCACTTCTCTGATGGACGGTGTAGTTTACATATTTCTGTTATGATTCTTATCATCATTAACCATTGTTCAAATTAAGTCCGTGATATTAGATTCTTGTCTACTCGTTAGGGAGACGACGGAATGGAGTCGCGTTGCAATTAAAAGTTCTAATAAAAAGCATCACATTCTCACGGTATTGTATTATCATTTAAATAACATCATGCGTTCAGTCTCGCGAATATAATCTTTAACATACAAATATATTTATCCAGCGCGCAAAATAAAATATTTCAAGCATTCAAATAATTTTTTCTTTCTTTTCTTTCTTTCATTCATTAAAACTACCTCATTCAGTTGAATCAGTTGGCAATTTTTTTGTTAATTTCGAAGTTTCATAAGTAAATGCTAAAAATACATTTATGCATCATGACAATTATGGAGTGCAATAAACTTAATAGTGTAATAGAATAGGAAATGCCCCCCCAACCCCCTTTATTTACTAGGCAAATACTGTCGTACATTTGGAAGACATAACAAAAATTAAATTAAGAAGCTTTTAAAGCTTAATGACAGCTTTTTTTAAATAGCGTTTTTTAAAACGATCGTTTAGTCAACACACCATGGGGAGGGCTGTTATACAGTCTCAGTAAATAGAATGGGAAAATTAAACCTTATAACTGTTGCCACTAGTATACGTTTAGAGTGCATCTTTTATTATTTATTAAATTTCGAATATGAAAAATAAATAAATTTGATTAGCATCAAAACTGGCCTCTGCGCTTAAAATGTCTAGCGTTAGCTTGTATTAAATTGATACACACTATAAAATAATGTCATTTGGTTCTAATTTCACTTATTTTAACAAAGTTTGTGTTAATTTCAAATACGAAGTCCAGTATAATCATAATCATACGTATTGAAAATAAGTAGTTATTGAACATATATCGTTACACACATACAGTCAGTTAAAATACACTGTGAACAATAGGCTTACAATGTTATATGCTATGGTTGCCATGCTTGGCAGATGGGTTGGCAACATAGAATACTACAATACACAATAGAATGGCTATCAACGTTATTTTGTACGACAATAGGCGTCGTCGGGAGCACACATACAAGCAATTACGTCGTATTATCAGTTAATCACTACTACAAACCCAATCCACTGTGTTGACAATTTGGCATTTTCTAAATAATTTGCAAGTGAAATTTGGAAACGATTGTAACGTCAAAACACATCTCGTGTTGACAGTTATACACGTGAATTGACGTGTTAGCGACATTTTAGTGGCTCTACACGGGCTCCGCCCACTCCCCCGTTTTATTATGTATGTATTATAGTATTCTATGGTTGGCAACTTAAGCTTTTTATCATTTTAAGTTGTTGTTACCAGCAAGACGCCGTCTGCTTTCTCATTTCCCTCTATCGCCTCTTTTGAAACCCGCGATTTGAATTAATATTGAACATTAAAATATATAATTTTTAAACATTATATTAATTGACTGATAGAACAGTTTGACAGATTTAAATTAATCCTTAACCTTCACTAGTTTTATCAAATTAATATTCTCTTAAACAGGACTTCGTAAGTGAAGAAGACTATGAGTACCAGTCTTAATATTTGGAAATGCAGTTAAATAAGTATTATTTTGTACGTAATTATTTTCTTGACAAACACAATGACGTCGACATGCAAACGGAGTTACACAGTATAGTCTTGTTCTTCTTAAAGATTTTTTAAGAACCGTTAAATTAATTATAATGATTTTTCACTTATTATTTTGCTATTGTGATGGTAATTTTCAATGGAATGGTATGCTGGTTTTATTTTTATATTTGATTCTACTGCCGTTCAAAGAAGCATGGTATATAATATTGATTTTGAGGCAGCTTTTTGGCTTTTAAAGTTAATTGTGAGATAATGACGGAAAAATAATAAATAGTAGTAACCTTATTAAATTCATAATAGAATACTAAAATATTTGTTATCTAACGTAACAATACTACAATCACAAAATGATAACAGCGTTGTATACTCCACATTACTTGAGTAATCAGGGTGATTATACACCAAGTTAACATGACATATAGGAATTGTATGATGTGCGTAAACTGCATTTGAGATGCAACTCGTATGGTGGGTGGTGGCAACAGTACTGGTGGAGTGTGATGAGCATTAAAGCGATCCTGCGGGGAAGCTGGCCGAAGAGTTGCTGTGCGCCAACGAAAGCATAGAACCGGACAATGACTGCTCCTCCTCTCCGTAGCCCTCCCGGCTGCCTTCCGCGATCGCCATTGCACTTTAACAAAAAAGCATAGTTTGAAATAAACTTAAATAATTAGTTATATCGTACCATCAACCTAATTCGGCAACTGCACGCTGCAACAATCTTACACTAACTCAACTCAAAGTTACTTACATTTTGTTTGAATTGTTATATTTGGGGTATGTCCCGAAATACAACCCAGTACACTGGCAAATGCAAATGACGTCATCAATTGACACTATATTGTACTGGCGTGCCGTCGACATATTGCGTCGGATATCCGGCCACAATAAAACAATTTTTAATTGTGTGTGCGCTGAATGAAGTATGCCAGAATTTGTTTTTATTTATTCAAATCCAAAAAAAATAGAATTGCTGGTATCTCCATTAGGAAGATATAATGATTTTTGGAGCACAAAACGACAAAATAATCGCCAACAATTTTCCAATATGGCGTAAATGTATGAGGTCATATACTGTCCTATGTTTTGGAACGTATCACCAGTATAGCGTCGATTCATGACGTCATTTGCATTGGACAGTACACTGGGTTCTATTTTGGAACATACCCTTTATATCTTATGGCAAGTTGTTTTGCTACATTTGAAAAATTAGTTTACGCTGTGATTAGCACATGTTACATTCAAAACACCTATATATTACTTGTTAACACCCTGTTTTTTTTTTAATGAGAGAGGGCAAACGAGCGGTACATCTGATGGTGACTACCGCTGCCCGTGAACAACTGTAACACCAGGGGAACTGCAAATGCGTTACCGGCTTTTTAAAAAAGAGTATGGTCTTTTCTTGAAGACGTCTAAGCAATATCGCATTATCCTAAAGGCAAACTAGGCACATGCCCACGGACGCAAGGTTACTAAGGAGGGCGCTTGGAAATAAATTCCACAGTATGGTTGTGCGAGGCAAATAATTCCGCTTAAATCGCACCATAGGGGACGACCCGCCACCCTTATCATCAACTTAATGAGGACGGAATCTCGAGTTCTGTAGCAATATAAGATAATGGAATTCAGCAGCTGGAATTTCTAACAATTCCTCCGAGTACTCTCCGTGGTATATGCGGTAGAAGATGCACAGAGATGCAACGTCTCTTCGCAAGGCCAGTAGATCAAGCCGATTGGAAATAACTTGGTCGTAGTCGATTCGGGCCGCTCTCAGTTGAATACTTTACTGTACTGTTACGTCTCTCGAAATAACGACGCCAAGGATTGCGATGCTGACTGACACAATGAGGGGAGTGCATTAAGGAGATACGACAAAGGGTTTCTTTTTTGCGGTAAACGCGCCAACCTGTGTCTTTCGGAGATTAAACTGGTCTAGATTTAGAAAAACTCGACTTCAGACACAAGTTTGTACTTGGCACTCGGCGTGTTCCTGAGAAATATTGCACAGCCGGTTTATAAGACATCGCCAGTGCTGTCGCCTGTATAACAATGAATGTTACTAGTATGCAACCTATCGTTGATATGTAGCAGGAATAGGGAAGGCGATAGCACGCAACCTTGGGGAATACCAGCATTCAGAGGCTTGGAGTCGGAGCATGCACCATCGACTAAAACCCGATCTGAAAGAAAACTGATAGCCCCATTACATAAATTCCAAAAATTTCTCTGTCTCAAGAGTAAGATAAACGGCTTTAAAGTCTTTCTGAGGCTCTCCCCGGGCCTCAGAAAGCATTTAAAGCCGTTTATCCTACACTTGATCTCTTTCAATTTTTGTCGGATTCTTATCTCAACGGATTATTAAAGTGTGGTAACAGAGTACATCTGTGTTTGCGCATACACATGTGCACTAAAATCCTGTTCTACGCTATGGCTAGTCTCCAGTTGCACAAGTCTCCATTGATACTGGCCGCCGTAACCGAATTTTGGTCTGGAGAATATTATCAGCCAACAATTTAAAATATTTATAATATCCATACATATATGACACAATTTCATAGAGAAAATAATTTTTATAAAATTATGGGGTTACCTAAAACCAAGGCGCGCGCTCTCATTGTCGAACTGCGCGAGCTCTTGTTCGTGCCTCTCGTGCATCAAACGAGTTCGTTCCGCGCGCTCGGCCATAAATTGAGCGCATTCAGACTCCATCTGGAAAGGTGGTGGTATGTTATCATACATGTTCAGTATGTAAAAAATCACAATGCTACATTGTGATTTCTTGCCTCGATAAATGTCTTCTAACCTATAATATGTAATAAAGTTAGAACTCAGATTATTTAACATACTATATGAACAAAACTAATTGACCTAATCTTACTTATCTATATTGTGTTGTCTTATTTTTTTATTGCATGTCTTAAGCGCAAAGCGCGTAGGTATGTTCTACTAGCGCCTAAAAATTAAAAATCCGACGTTTTGGCGCATGAAATCGTTTCTAACAATCATATTGAACATATAAATGATATAAAAAGAAAATTTATCTTATTTAGCTATTTTCAAATAATAAATGATTGTTGAACTTGTTAATTTTTATATTAAAAAAGTGGTTTTAGTAGCTTATGGTGTAGATTTATCAAGTCCGCATGGAGGGGTAAACATGATAACTTTTGAAAATATCAATTGTTCAACTCAATCTATTTTTTAATCTCTTCATCTATCATGTGGGAAGCCATAGAATGTAAATGGAAGTTTAATTTTGTCTTGTTTAGGTATAATTATTTTTTTTACAAATGAAAAACTTTTCAGTCAGAATAGACTTTTTCTAGGCTATTTGTTATATGTTACATGATGGTTACATCGCGAACCCTGTAACTACTTATCTCATGTTGCATCCTGGTCAAAATTGGCCAAGTAACGATAAAAAAAGTTGGTTGTATATTTACCAAATTTTACTCCGCATGCCAAGTAAAATTGTAACAGCAACCCACTCACTCGATGTTTTAGATATCTTTCAAGAAATAAAAAAAATCTTAGAAAAGTCAAAAGACTGACCATAAACTGTTTTATTTTAATTGCAATCCCAGGACTACATTACAGTCTTATATTATGATTATTTTTGAGGGAGTTTACCCTAATAAATAGTTTTTATTAGGGTAATTGAATTGAAAAAGAGAAAATAAGATAAACGAAGTTTGGTTAATTAATATAAGATGTTAAAAATTAATTGGCTAAGATCCGCGTAATATGTACAATCTGCGTAATAAATAATTCATAACGCGCATATTAGCAAAATTATTTTTAACATCTTTAATATTGCTAACTTTAATTTTAATCAATTCAAAAACTTATGGATGTAATCCATTCATTTTAAAAATTATCAGTCACAAGTACATTAACACGTTCAAAACAAAATGCGAAAGGTAATTTATTTTGTAAGTTTGGATGAGACAAGAGCGATTAGCCAGACTTTCAAAATGTAATCTTTCTAAAAGAAAATATAATAATTAATGGGATTATTATATCTTTTTAATAGTTAACGATTGTAGAAAGAAAACTGAGATACCCTGCTATGGCGTAAAATAATTTCTGAGATGCGAAAGAACTCGATACAAAATTTTAAACATGTTGATGTATTGTTAAATAAACATCGCCCATACCGATATGTTGGTAAATCCAAAACATAGCCGATAAATATCTATTAGTACTAGATGGAAACATAGTTTAAACCAATGACTTAGGATAGTAATAGACGACCATTGTGTGCAAATGAGAAGAAATTTCCTTATAGCAATATAGAGAAACATAAAAAGATCGCAAATTTCATGACTTTGTAACCGATCTTGAATGACAGGTCGGCACAAAACTGCTCGCAAGAAAAAATAGTATGGCCAACTAGCAGCGATACGAAAGGTCATTTACCTTAAAAACGACTGTGGAGTTGACAATCTATTATCTCTATCTCTTTCCATCTTGTGTATTTGTCGTAACGTCTCGTTTTCCCGGCAAAACATGTCAGGGTCAAGACGAGTTCGCCAACATTTGGGAGGCCATTTTAATAATTGTTGTTTATTTAATTATTGTTATTTTGTTTTATTGATAATTGTTTTTTATTAAGAGTGGTTACTGGTGGAGCCACAACCAAGTACGTCGAGAGATAAATCAACAGATTTTACTTCTCCGAAAAAGAAACGTCCAAAGTAGTATGTATAGGAATAGGATATATATGAATGTTGTTGTAGTTTTAATTAAAACTTCTTGGTTCGGAGTGTACTTTAAAGTTATCTTAAAGTTATTTAAAAAACAGCAACTGTAATAATAAAACTTTTCTTAATTTATTAAAGATGCATGTAAGTAAAGTATGTATAACATTAATCATGTAATTTAATTTTTAATTTTAGGCTTCTAGTTTTACTGTGAATGAAAAAATATGGTTATTAATACCTACAAATATGTTAAAGAAACTTGACCTAATGATAAATACCCATACAGAAAAGAGATGGCGCAGAAATTACATTATACAATAATTCAAATTATAACAAAATTTAAAAAAAGTCAATTTTTTTGATTTGCTAGACATTTTTAAAACTATATTGTCTACTTAAATATATGTAACTATCGAAAGTAACGCACCCCTGCTATTCCTAATAACCTTACATTGGTTTTATTTACATTTGGTATCGCTTCTCGTTGGCCGTAGTACAAATATCTTGTAATTTTTTTTGAGTATAATAGTGAATATTTTGGATTTGAATTTGAATGTTGTGATTATGATGATCCATAGATTATAATATTGTGTACCAAACGTCGACGACATCCGGCTTACCGAAAAGCCTAGTAAGCTTATGTTCTCACTAAAATTATATTGTCCTAAAAATATTTTTATAGAATAAGGCTGACAAACGAGCACACAGTCCACCTGATGGTAATAGGTTGCTGTGGCCTGTGTGACATTTATTCTCAATTACGAATCAAAATGCAGATGCGTTGTCACCCGTGAGGACTAAGATATTTCATATTTTTCTTGCCTTGTTTCCAGTAAAAAGGGTCTCTAGGTCTCTACACTCACCATACGAAACACAACAGCGTCAAGCTCTTTTCAAGCAATTTTACGCTGGTATGTGAGAGCGTGGTCCTTCCCCTATCGAGTCGACCCATTTGTGCTATAACAATACTACTAATATAGCTGCAGCATGGCTCTACCAAGTCTTTTTGTCTTCTAGGTGGTAACTTCTTTCTGCCATTTCTCTCCGGGTTACCGATTTTTGCCGCCTTATAGCAGTGTACACACCACTGTATTCTGGTCTAAAGGGTATAGGGAGCCAGTATAATTTGGTTTTCAGGCATTTCATCTTAGTCTTCAGAGGTGATAAGGCTTTAGTAACTTTTTTGAAGTAGTAGGATGCAGGTGTCCATGCGGTGCAAGTAGCCTCTGAACATCAGGTAGGCTGTACGTTGGTTTGTCAGTTCAATTTTATGAAAACAAATAAAGGCATACCTTCTGCTCGAGCAGCGCCCGACGGACGGCGACACGCTCCTCGAGTTCGCGGCGCTCGCGGTTGCGCTGCGCCTCCGCCTGCATTTTGCTCTTGCTCTGGTACGCCGTCAGCATATCCAACTCATGCTCCAGTTGCATCTTCTTCTGTTGGCACTCCATCTGCCAAAATATTAACAGTGACTCAGTGACTTCCCTCACTCTGGATGAAAGTAAAACCAAACAGGTTTAATATTAGTTTTCTGACTAAAAACAAATAGGCATTTGTAATAGTGGTGATATGAAGTCCACTATTAACAGACTCCGAGTGGTTTAGTGGTGGAGAAATGAAACTATTTTTTTTTATTTGCAGACGAATGGAGTATGGAATGGTTTTTTGGTCAACCCTGCCTATATGTCCGGCTACGTCGTTAGTTTACCATAGTAATAATTTTTATTTACCTAGCCAATTACAATTCAAACATTCTGACCAATAAAGATTAATCAAAAATATTATGTACAACTATTATGTAAGCTCCATTTGCCAGCGTGAGACTCGTGGATAGCTTCTCGTAGCCTACGTTGCTGGACGGAGCTATGAAAATGGTGCAGACCGGCGAGCGCGCGTAATCGGCGAGCGGCAGCGGCGTGGGACACATTTCCGGAACAGCAAGAAGCGAAGGTGCGGCGTTGAAGAAATGGCTCAAAAATGGTCGACGGGTGCATGAAGATAGCCGGCGTGTGAAGACGATGCGGCGCTGATGATAATTGCGGTTGTTTCTTGTTTCTATATTAGAACGTTAAATATATACGTCAAATTATCTCGCATCGATATGCAGCCCGCAGTATCTCAGTAGCCGGGGGGTAATTAGGAAATAAATGTTTTCTTCAGACCTTCGCTTTCTGTGGTAGTAGCAGGGTATATATTATTTATTGCCGTTCAGGGTTGATTGGCCTGGCTGCTACACATTTAATTATATACTCAGTTAAAGAAAAGACGTGTAACATGCGGAAAGACTTTCTGTATTATTATTGTAAGCTTCAAATGAATCTTATTAAAATAAGCACAGTTATTATGTTATCATATCCTAAAAAAATACTACACCTTTAAATACCTTAGAGGTGATAACAAAATCACAAATATCTTGTAGTGTATGTACACTAAACCTTTATTTATTAAACCTTCATTTATAAACATTTATTTTCATTCAGTTAGATAATTGATAATAATGAGGAATACCATACCATCTGACTTTCATCAAGCTTGATGGTCTGCTTCTGCAGCATATCAGTGATGCTAAGGTCATACTGCTCGCCAAGTTTTACCAATTTGCGTCGCTTCTCATCTTTCAGTGCTTTTATGACTTCTTTTTGCTGTTCCTGTAAATTAAAAAAATATTTTTAAATTTTATATTAATTTGACCTTATCAGAGAACATATAAATCGCAAGCCCAAGGTTTACCAATAGTCATCCCTCTTACTTTTTTTTAAACTATTCTAAACCAATGCTTGACTACTACACAGTGATGGTAATAGTCAAGCTCAAAGATTTAGCTTAACCAGAGCCTATTAACTCTGATCTTGAAGACACCCACATTGTTATCAAATAGAAAGATTCCTCCCACTTCCAGCAAGCGCGCTCTGCGCTTGTCCGCTCAGCAGGGTTAGACAAGTTGACTTTCTACAATCGCCAACACAACAGAATACTATAAAAATGAATGCTAAATAACATATATCAAAATTAATGAAATAAATTCATAGGACTTAACAAGATTTCATGTTTAGTCTTTTTATATATACCAGCTGGCCAGACAAACATCATTCCGCCTGTTATGATGAACCTTTGTCTGAAAAGAATCCTTAATTTCTCAATAAAAAAAATTGATGTTCAGTTATCGGCATAAAAACTATTCTTTTTCTCAAATTGGGCCAAACCAGTGGCGTAGCAAAGGGTGGCGGCGGGGGCGGGCCGCACCGGGTGTCACCTTTTTTTGGGGTGACACCCACCCGGTCTCTCAACTTTAAGAACAATGTACAAACAAAAAAAAATCGTTAGCACAAAAATTTCTGTTTCGGGGATTCCTCATGCTTCATGTGAGAGGAGTTTCAGTAAATTAAAATTAATAAAAAAACTATTTGCGGGCAACAATGACCCAATCGCGGCTTAGCAATCTTGGTATATTAGCCATCGAACACGAGGCAGTACAAAATATAAATTTCGATGAAGTTATTGCTGAGTTTGCAGTTGTCAAAGCTAGAAACAAGAAATTTTAATTGTATAACAATTCCTTTTCTGTCTTAGTTATTATTGTGTTTTGTTATTTCTTCAATATTATAAATAATAAATGATCCACGTCCTTTATCATATATTATATCATATTTATTGCTTTTTACTTTCGATGGGGTGAAACCACCAACTTCCGCACCGGGTGCCACCCAAGGTAGCTACGCCACTGGGCCAAACAGCACACAGTGTTCAAAATTTAATTGAAATCAGGTCAAAAGTTTAGGATTTCATCGCGGACAAACACTGTGACACAATCTTTATACATAAACATAACACCAATCAACTTTAACCATTATGATCAATATCAACAAATGCAGTTTTTCGTATTTTTTGTGTCATCTTGCCTGTTATAGTATTAGAATTATTAACCATCTCCAGACATATCATTTCAAATTATCAGTTAATATTGGTAGAATATTTCATTGAAACAGAATAATATAGTTCAACATCAATAACAGAAGTTCATCTAATCAAAATATTTTAGTTTTCTTTTATTTAAAAGCAAAAAAATTTGCGAAACCAAAACAAAGTTGTGGCCGCATATTCATCTTAAGAATAGGTTGGTTAACAATTGATTTTGGATTTACAAGAAACCCACTAAATTTTATTTTAATATTTATTATTATGAAATATCATAATATTTATGAAAGGGGAAGATTGTTTTATTTTGTTACTTTGTTCTTTAAATAGTAAACGAATGTGGGTTAGAGAATCTAAATTTCGTCAAATAACTACATGCATGCAGGATAACATATAAAGAAATGACTATTAACAATTATTAGTTAAAGCTCAATACTTACTTTCGGTGTCATCTGCAGGATTTGCGCTTTGAGCGCCTTATACTGACGTGTCTGTATCTTACAAGTCTCCCGGAACTGCTTTCGGATTTGCATTTCCTTTTGCTGCAAACAAAACATACATGGTAACTATATCATATGGAGCACACTGATTCAATTATTTTCATCTAGATATGTCATGAGCTTTCTGTTTTTCTTGGATGATTGATGATGACCTTTTTTCTTTTTGCTCGTTCACCGTGTTTGGTAGGCGGATTGGTGTTCTGGATGCAAGGTTGTGCATGGATATGGAGAAGACACTTTTTTACAAAACTTTGACAACAGAAGTTGTATTGCTGATATTTCAATAACTTTATGTAGAAAATTAATAAAGATTACTATTATATAAATCAGTTCTTTAAAATAGTTGTGAACTAAAATGGTGCACAACAATTTTCAACAACTCCACACTACTCAACTGTCACTTCCTATTCTATACCATAGGTAAGAGTGCTCTATTCTATATTCATAGACTAACCTTATATACTGGTAATTTAGATGGGGATTGGTTTAACCTCCCGATTATTTCAATTGATTTGGAGTTGAGATCATTTTTACTTATAAAACAAAGTCTGGGTTATATCATCTAAAATTACAAAATTTTGGATTATTTTGAAATCAACCCAACATTTTTTTACCACTAGCTCACAATGGACATAACTTTTTTCTTTCTTTTCTTTTCTTTTATTTCATATCTTTTTATTCTTATCGGATAGGGTGACAAACGAGCACACAGTCCACCTGATGGTAAGTGGTTGCTGTGGCCCATAGTCATCTACATCCGTCCTCGATTATGAATCAAAATGCAGATGCGTTGTCACCCGTGAGGACTGAGATGGAATGCCTCATTTCCAGTAAAAAGGGTCTCCAGTTCTCTACACTCACCATACGAAATACAGGTATTCTGTGAGCGTGGTCCCACCCCGGCCAAGTCGACCCATTCATGCCACAACTATACATCTATTATAACTGCAGCATGGCTCTACCAGATATAATTTACTTGATAATTTTTAATTTTTTTGATTTAATTGATAATTAATTTTATTGAGGCCAGGCATATTCAGGGAGCATGAGTGTTACACAGGCCTGTGGCTGCTCAAAAATGTATTAATTTCGAATGTTTTATTTTTTAAAGCGTAATAAACTCATATATTGTCTCCAAAATGCTTTTGCGGAGGCAGCACCTCATCTGAGCATCGTAAGGTGTTGGTACGCAGATTTTGATCGAGGCCGCGTTTCGCTCCATGGTTACGAACTTTGTAAAGGTCGACCCCCAACTGCGATCATAGAGGAATATGTGGCTTTTGTTAGGCGAATGATTGAAGAAAACCAGCAAATCGCCTATGAGAAGATTCGAGAATATTTGGGTATTGATTTAAGTCAAATTAAAAAAAAAACTTCAACATCTAAATATCGGAAGACTTTTTACCACTGGATTCCTGAAGAACTAACCCCAGAATAAAGGGCTCGAGATGATTGGTGTTTGGTTAATCATTTCAGTAAATTATTTGCTGGTTTTTAATTTATGTATTCAAAATTATTAATGAATGTACCTATTTTTTAGTTCTAATCCTTCGGTTACGTAAACAATGATAAATTTGAATCCTTTTGTTTGTTTATTAAGTATCCATCCACGCAACAATTGTATATACAACATACAAGGATGTTTTGTCACATAGGTAGATACAATATAAATATCATAATATAAATTACAAGAATTCTTCGACAACTGTTTACAAGTCTATTTAAAGCGTTAAAAAAATCTCTGAAATCCATTAGTATCTCGCTTGCCTAGAATTTGCTAGCCCTGACTGCTTTTTTGCGTTACGCAGGGATCAGAAGTGACAGAGGCCTGGAATGGGCTTTGTTGATAAAAAAAGGTTTTTAAATTCCTACTTTCTCCTTGCTTTATATTCAAGTAAATGTTGTGAAAATGAATAAGTTACCTTAAGACTCTTGGGCTGCTGCTTAAGTTGCAGCGCATGTTTCTTGCGAAGGTCGTGCTCCTGCCTCTGCATGTAGTCGCGCTGGTTGGCCAGTTCCGTCGCATGCTGGTTCGCCAGTTGCTCCTCTCTATAAGATCCCCGATATAATTTTAATATTTCTGAGTTATTTAAACACGGAATGATGATCAACTATTAATCACCAGATGATAAAACTACGTCTTTATTCTGACAGATTTTGACCACGGCGACAATCTCCGAATACTATGGGAAATTGTCTGTTAGCCTACGTTTATTCGATGTAACGCTTATTTAATGACAGTAACAGGGAGGGCGCGATATGCGCGCGTGTGTACGATGCCTGTAATACTGATGACTGATTGAACAGTTTCTTCTTGTTTAACTTGTTTCTAATTTCACACTAAATGTAAACAATAGCGTAAGTTCAAACGCACTATCTTTTACGAGTATTCCCGCAGCTGTTGATAAGGTTCCGAGAAGCGATTGTTTGGGATAACCCAAAACATTGCTACTCGGAACTTGTCTACCTGGCCCCTTTTTTTCAAGTTTTTTCTGTACTATATAAGTTACAAGCTAAATTGATACTTCGTTGGGTAGCTGGATAAGTAGGGATGTTTTTAACATGATTTGCACAATTGGTCACATACCGTTATTTTTCACAAAATCATTTTTATTTTTAATTACTTATCTTCTGTTTGGAAAAAGTTGTACTTTTAGTAGCGTTACTTCGAAAATGATGAGACTTTTTTGCACACTGTATAGATAAATAAGTATCCAGGTTTTCATTAAGTAAAAATAATAAAATGAAAATAATACAGCTGAAGTTTTTTTTTAGAAATTTTTGACACGACTTTTGGGATTTTCGAAAAAAATAATTAAACCTAAATAGCTCGAAATTGGTCCACATTTGCATAATGCATTTTATGGTTCATTTGATAGATTATGACCCCAACTATCACGCCTTTTGGCGGGAATACGTCGAGTTACCAGTAACCCTGTATATATATATATATATATATATATATATATATATATATATATATATATATATATATATATATAGAGAGAGAGAGAGAGAGAGAGAGAGAGAGAAAGAGAGAGAGAGCCATATTTGGGCAGGGGTTAGTCTACTCCTAACTTTTGAAATTATCAGTAGGACTAGATTAACCACCTATTCTACTCTCCTGTCCGGCGAGTAGTTTGGCAAACGGCTCTTGGGGAGAGTGCAGGTCGTGTTTATCCTCAGGACAAGTCTGAGGAGTTCTTCCTTCACGTGTTTGCTGCCTGTTATTTGGTCTGGTTCAATAGGAAATAGACAGAATAGACACACTCAGACGATCCTCTTCTTCTTTTCTTTTTTTCCCACCCCCTTTTTCCTATCCTAACCCAATCCAAGGTGTCAAGCTTACCATGCCGATGGATGCGTAGCTGGAAAGAGTCCAGTCGCAAACGGTGCCCAGCCAAGACTAGGGCAATTCGGTTAGTATTTTAGCCCTTCCCTCGGCTCTGCCGGGGGTAACTGAATATTTCCCTAGCTAATCATATGGACCAAAATGGACGAAAATCGAATCGAATTTTGCAAAGAATAAAAACCCCTCTAATGGAACCATCTGCAGGTTTGGAAGAGGCTCTTTTAGCCTGCAACACTACGCCCCAACCTGGGACGAGCCGTGAAGTGGAGGACACGTCTGCAGCCGAAGCACAATCGGAAACAAACCAGGGAGAGGAAAAGAAAAAGTTCGCTAAGCCTTATAAGCTAAGTGGGGCTAAGCTAAGCAAGGAAGAGGTACCGAAGGCATAGCAGCTGAGATAGGAGCCGAAGAGGCCCTCTCTCTCTGCCAGAAGCTTGGACGAATTTCTTGGGGAAAACGCAGTCGGTGAGGAAGAGTCCCCCAAAGAAGAGAAGAAGCTCAGCTTCAGTGCCGAGCTGGTGCGGTGTAGAAATTCGCAGATCTATGAGTGGAGAGGTTCGGGCACTAACACAGGCCATGAAGACGGCTCGTGGGGCGCAGCCGGGAATAGGACCAAAATTTTCTGGTTTCACTCACAAGCCAGGTTGGATTCCGGTAATGTGCCTGAATAAGGCAAGCCAGGACTGGATTGTGGGTGAAATCGGAAAACTAAAACTCTGGCCGGAGGCAGAGCTCTCGATAATACCCGAGGGCGAACTGGCTAAGCCTCAGCTGGGCATTACCTATTTGCCCCACAGCGAAGCTGACTCTCTAGAGGAGGGGGGGCGGCTGTACTGTTGAGGGCACAAAATGAAGGCCTCCATACTGAGCTCTGGTGAATCCCCCACTGTAGGGACGAGGAGAATGGCTTCCTAGTAACCTTTTCTTTGGATGACCCATCAGCGGTGGCTCTTCGGAAGGTTCGGAAGGAAATAAGTGTTATAAGAAACATATCTATCATATTGTTGCATACAGAGGAAATAAAAAAGAAAAACATGAATTTTTTTTATAGAAGAGGGGGCAAACGAGCATGCGGCTCACTTCTGATGTTAAGTGACTACCGCCGCCCATGATCAACCGCAACACCAGGGGAATTGCAGGTGCGTTGCCGGCCCTTTAGAAAGGAGGAAGCTCTTTTCTCGAAGGTCACCAGGTCGTATCGGTCCGGAAATATCGCCGGTGGTACTATTCCACGCGGAAGAAAACTCCTTTTGAAACGTACAGTGGTAGACCGCCAAGCATCCAGATGGTGTGGATGGTATCGGGACGTTAGCCGCGTAGTGCGTTCACGAAATTTGGCGGCTGGGATTAATCCGAACAATTCCTCACAGTACTCGGACTATTTTCTGGATATTAGCGCTGTTAGTCTATACGACTCTTACAGCTTCATCTGACTCAGGGCCTCCATCTCCTGCAAGGCCGCGAGCTAATTAAAAAAGGGAAAGGCAATGAGGTGAGGATGATGATGAGTGGTTTATGATTTGGTATTGTTACCAATCATCATGTCGCCTTTTTAGGGCGTTTCTTGAGCTATCTAACCGCAGTCCGAGGGGGGGAGTGCAGACCCCCGTCTCTGACTGCTCAGCTCGTGTCGGTCGATGTCGAGTACTCTCCATGGTATATGCGAAAGAAAATGCAAAGAGATGCAACATCTCTTCGCAGCGCCAGTGAATCGAGCCGATCGGAAAGCACTCGGTCGTCGACGCTTCGAGCCGCTCTGCGCTGGATGCGGTCAAGTGGAAGGAGCTAGTACTGGGGTGCCCCAGCCCAGAGATGGGAACAGTATTCCATGTGCGACCGAACCTGCGCCTTATAAAGTTGCAGGCGGTGTGCCGGCATGAAATACTGTCCCGCTCTGCAGAACACGCCAAGCTTTTTAGAGGCCAATTTGGCCTTCTCTTCCAGGTGACCACGAAACTGCACATCACTCGATATGTCGACGCCGAGGATTCCGATACTGGCTGAGGCAACATGGACAGTGCCTCGAAACTGAGGAGATACGACAAAGGGGTTCTTTTTAGCGGTTAACGCGCAAATTTGTGTCTTCTGGGGGTTAAACTGGACTAGATTTAGTGGCCCCCAATCCGAGACTCTGTTCAGCAAAGACTCGACTTCAGACACAAGTTTGTCCCGGTACTCGGAGACGTTTTCCCGAGAAATATTGGCACGGCCGGTGTACAGAGCATCACCAGTGCTACCATCTGCATAGCAATGAATGTTACGGGTTTGCAACATATCATTGATATGCAGAAGAAACAGCGTTGGCGATAGCACGCAGCCTTGTGGAACACCAGCATTAATAGGCTTGTAATCGGAGCTTGCACCGTCAACAACGACCTTGATGCTCCGATCTGCAAGAAAGCTGGTGGTCCAATCGCACAATTTCTCGGGAAGCCCATAGGAAGGGAGCTTCGAAAGAAGCGCTTTGTGCCAAACCCGATCGAAGGCCTTCGCAATGTCCAAACTAACGGCTAATGCTTCCCCCTTGGACTCTACTGCCTCCGCCCATCAGTGAGTTAGGTAGACTAGAAGATCACCAGCTGACCGACCACGGCGAAAACCGTATTGGCGATCACTAATCAGCTGGTGATCCTCAAAGTATCTCATAAGCTGGCAGTTTACAATGGACTTCATTGTTTTGGAGAACAAGGAGGTGATGGCGATAGGCCGGTAGTTGGACGGGTCTGAGCGGTCACCGTTTTTAGGGATCGGGTGGACGAAAGCCGTCTTCCATGATTTTGGGACTACGCCTAGGGAGTAGGAGTACCGGAAAAGACTCGTTAGAACCGATGCCAACTCTGGAGCACACGTCTTCAGCACAATTGGGGGGATTCCGTCAGGCCCACTCGACTTGTTGAAGTCCAGGGAGAGGAGTGAGTGCTTTGCGAACCGAGCGCTGTGTGAACTGGACTTCCGGCATGGAGCACTCACACCGCGGAATGGTCGGCGGCGTAAGTTGGACGCAAAGAAAGAGTCCAGCAGATTCTTGTTGAGTCATCCTCCCTGTGCAGAGATGGAAGAGATGGCTGACAGAAATTCCCCTGGACAGCCTTGGCGAGAGACCAGAATGCACGGGTTATAGAAGGAAGGCGAACTAGTTTCTCGCCAATTCTGCCTATGTGCTCTGACTTTGCCTTGGCAATGACTCTTTTGAAGAACCTAGAGGCGGAATTATACTTCTTTTTTAGAGCGCTGGTATTTACATCCCATGATGTTGATCCATCAGCCCAGGCTTGGTAGCACTACTGCTTATAGCATGATGCTATTTTACTGGAGCGACCAAACCATGGCTGAGATTTGCCTCCAATGGGCACCACAGATTAGAATTAGATTAGACTCGAATTAGATTTAACTAACACAGATCGAGTTTTCAGTAACGCGAAGGCTACAGCAGTTGATACCATAACTTCCAATTCCATGTTGATGGTGAAGATGTTTTGTTTAATAAGTTAGGTGTTTTGAACCCAGGAGAAAAGGGAGAAAGTTCTGGCTGTGAATCATAGATAACATATTGTAGGCTTATGAAAAAACGAAGATCATGATAGTTGTGTTGTCATTCAATAAAAGGTATGAATTTCATTAGTGTTTTAGTGGTGAAATTCCCATAAATACACAATATTTGGCGACGAGAATGGGATAATCATGGTAACAAGCTATGCTAATAATAATATTTTCCCAAAATCTCAAATATTTAGGTCCTATAAAATGTCACCATGGTTACCAACTTGTTAATATATCATTTGATGAATAATAAAGGTGAGATAAAGATGAGGTAAAAAGAATTATTTTAGATCGTGGAAGAATATAGTTAGTAAACAAAAATTTACCTTAATGCGTGCACACCCTTCTGCTGCCTATACTCTAGTTCTTGCGTCTTTTCGTGATGCCGTAACAGCATCGCGTGAGCTTGCTCTAACTGTTGTTGCCTTTTATTTAGTTCCTGTAAATAGTTACGAGAGAGCATTAACTCAGAATAAAATAAGCTAAACAGCTAAACTTACTTATCCATTCTAAAGCTAAGTTGGTTACTCTGGTTCCACTGCGGATATCCTCATTTTTAAGTCTATCACAAAAAGTAAAGTGGAAATGGGCCGGCCATATAGCTAGAAGAACTGACAACCGATAGGGAAGAAAGGTTTTCGAGTGGCAGCCTCGTACCGGTAGCTGAAGTGTAGACTGTGTAGACATGCAGGAAGTGGATGAATGCAGGTGGCTCAGGACCGTGCTTTTCGGCGTTCCTTAGGGGTCTATGTTCCATCTTTGTGAAGGGTTGTATTGATGATGAAAAATTCATACTGTAACCTGACTTCGAACCCTGCATGGCACTGAAATTGTTAATTGTAATTTTAAGTGGGGGCGGTCTGTTTGGCACTGGGTTTTACAAAGTTCTTGGCTGTGAAAGAAAATATTGTGAGGAAACATGCATGTCGGGAAAATAAAATATTTTGTGAATATAAACAGTCCAACATGCAATGGGACATCATATTATGTATATATGACAAATGTTACATAACATTACGTTAATAAATGTTTCACTAGGGACTGCATAACCGAACAAATTTGCCAATAGTGCGATTGTGTAATTCTGATGGGTATTATTTACTGGTGGAAATCATTCGACACCTGCGTGTTTTTTCATCATGATAAGATTTTGTGGACTAAAATAAGATATTAGTGTTGAAAAGATATTGGCTAAAGTTCTTAAAAACTACAATGTTTGTATTTTTATGTTGTATGTTTGTGAGTCTCAATGTGTATCTCTATGAATAGGTTAGATAGGTTATTATTAGTCTTTTCCTTATGACTATGATTAAAAAAGTGCGATGTCTGGTTTTACAATCAAACACGTTGAATACGTTGATTACGAGTGTGGAACGCCCAACAGAAGCGGCGGTGGAGTACGGGTGGAGTTGCGGTGGAGTAGAGGAGAAGCGGCGGTGGAGTGGCAGTGGAATAGAGCAGAATAGGCGGTGGAGCAGAGGTGGAGTAGAGGTGGAGCAGAGGTGGAGTAGAGGTGGAATGGCGTTGGAGTAGAAGAGAAGGGACAGTGAAGCAGAGGTGGAGTGGGGAGTAGAGAAGCGGCGGTGGAGTATATGTGAAGCGGCGGTGAAGGGACGGTGGAGTAGAGGAGAATCGGCGGTGGAGCAGAGGTGGAGTGTCGGTGAAGTCGGTGTGGAGTGGCGGGAACACACCTCTCGCAGCAGCTCCTGCTCTTTGTAGTGCATGGCGAGCATGCGGCGCCGACGGAAGCGGCGCAGCTCCAGCTCCAGGTACTCGCGCTGAGACCGCACCAGTCGAGCCTGCTCTGCCTCCTCCGCCTGCTTCAGGTTGTCTTTTTGCGATCTGCGGGTCAAACATGATCAATTAAGATTTCAACCCACTATGAAATTCCATCATACCATGACCGTACCCATATCAGTACATGCAAAAAGAAAAAGCAACAAAATTATCTTCCAAAATGCAGTTAATATTGCAGAAATTCATTTATGGTCGGAAATGACTTGGAAAGAAATAATTTTGAATATTAATACTGATTATCATTTATTAACATTATATACATGCTTATAAGTTAAAAACATTTATTGAACAAGATATTTTTTTTATTACTACAAGTAAAGATATATTTAAGTGCTGCACTGACAAATATTTTTGTGATGCATTCATTTTATAGATGTTTTCATTTTTCGATAGTTAAATTTGTTTTTATAGAATAGGTATGACAAACGAGCACATAGTCTAGCTGATGGTCAAATTACGTAAAAAGAAGAGAATGGATTAATGCTATTTAAAACTAGAAGACGGCCTAAAACTACTTATTTATTGTTATAAATAATTAGAGGACCAAAAAACAACAATTTAAAATTAATACAGAGGTTTTGGTTAATATGGTGAGTTTTTCGTAAGTCGTCGATTTCATTGACTAACACTTTGATTTCGGTTTATCATCGCAAGGAAAATGTTTATTTACCCAGCAGTTTTTAAATTTTATTGTCTAGTAGATTGTTCTAGAACATTCATCGTTAATGTAATAAGCGCCCTCTGTTATCCAGTAGTCACTATTTATTTACCAAATGAGTTAGTGATTGACGACGTTTATTGATTGGCGATATCGATAAAAAATATTATAGAGGATGCCGATTTAATAATTTACAATATTGTAAGGCTTTTAAAAAGGAGTAAGTTCTTTTCTTGGAGGTCCCTAACTCGTATAGTTCCGTAAAAATCGCCAATAGTAAACGATTCCAAAAAGTATTCGTGGGAGGAAGAAAACTCCTAATATATCTCACGGTAGTGGACCGCTAAACATCCAAATGATGTGAATAGAATTGAAATGAATTGTAACGTAAGTTTTGTCGCGATGTGCGTTGGTGGAATTTGGTGGCTGAAATTATTTTGAACAATTCTTCAGAGCACTGCCCGTGTTAAATACGATAGAAATTGCAATAGATCTCAGCCTAAGTGGATTGCGCTGGCACAGAGTCGCCACACCATTCCCCCATCCCGCTTGGCCCCCACCGTTTCTCTTCACAAGTACATTTGTTTCACAACTGTTACACTATCTTTAGACTATATATAATTTGTTATAGTAAGGTATATAATTTGTAATAAAGTAAAACACATAACTGTTTTTTATTGTTTGTTACAATGTCTTTGGTTTATTAATATTGTAATAATAATAAATGTATAAAATAAATAAGGGCTTTTTTTACTGAACTTAATGTCAATGCTTGTTTTTTGTAGGCACGTATTTTAGAATCTATTGGATTACTATAAAAACGAAAACCAATAAAATACAAATAAAAGATTATAAAGTCATTAGTAGATAGTAGTATTATAAGTTATTAGTATAAAAAGTAAAAATATTTAAAATTGACACTAACTGTAATGTCGCATCCCTCTGTCTCTTGGGTGTGGCATCATCCATACTGAGTTCTTTTTTCCAGCGCTCCTTGTTCGCCTTATACTCGCGTTTACGTTGCGCTTCAAACGCCTTGCGCTCTTGCTCCTGCCTCGCAGTAATATCCTTGATCAACTTCTTCTCCGCCGCAGCATTTTGCTTTTGTTTTCGCTCCAACTCTTGCGCATGCTTTGTCTGGAATTATAATTTAAGAGTTAAAGCTTAATTTTGTATATTATTTTAAGATATATGAAATTATAGATATATATTAATAAAATCTGTTTATATATAAATATACTGGATGACTTTTTTTACCGTATGGAAGAAAATAGGCTGTAACAGGTAGAAGCCTATGGCATTGATATCTTACAATTTTTTTCTTCATTAACATGTTATGAAATTGATCTATCAATAAATACTACTAATTTAAAGTAAACTTTCCATACTAAAAAAATAAAAACAAAAATTTTGAACTAAATAAATATTAAAAATTATGGAAATTCAAATCATACGCACTTTAAATTACGAGCGGAAATAAAACAATGAATTTGTAACGCACTCGCCGCACGCAACTCGCAAGGCCGCCTGCGCACTCATTTCAGTTACCTGTGATTATCTACGGCGTGACGTCGTATATTTTACGTTTCCTCGTGCGTATTGGCAGCACGATGATAATTATCATGAAAACATATATCAATACTCTAATGTCGAGTACCTAGCAATGGTGATATGTCATATCTTGTCTGAAATTACGACGTGCACGATGAGCACTGATGGAGTTTCCAAAACCCACACATAATCAAAGAACAATGCTCATAAAGTTCGTTTGTGTTAACGTTTGGGCACCAATCATTAACAACCAAATCATTGGTCCAATATGAGTTGAAGGTCGAATGACGGGAGTAATGTATCTGTAAATGGTACGTTCCGTCATGGACACAATGTTGGAAAACGTTCCTCAGAGCCATCTGCAAGGAATGTTCTTCCAGCACGACGGATGTCCAGCTCGTTACGAACGATCTGTGCGCGCATATCTGGTGATAGGTCCTTCATTATATTTGCCGCCAAATAAGTCTGCTGTGTTCTGGTGTGAAGTATTTAGAGTTCTAGTATATTTTACAGGTTGTCAGTCATTCAACATTAGTCCTCAAGGGTGACAACACAAACGATTTTCTTCATTTGAAATTGATTGCAAGGTGTCCATGGAATGCAGTAGCCACTTACCCTTACCTTAGCCATCTGGTGGACTTGAAGTTTGTTTTTCACTTTAGTTTTATAAAACAATCTAGACATTAGACAGAAAGAAAACACATACACAATTCGGTGACAGGTGGACAGGTCGCGGTGGACCTGTGATCTGACCGGCAAGAGCACCAGACCTAACACCTCTAGATTTTTATGTGGGCCGAATTAAAACGATTAGTGTATACAGAAGAGGCACAAAGTGTTAGTGATTTAAAGCAGCGTATAATAGAAAAAAGTGATAGACACGCTTCGAAATTTAACAAACGATTTACAGAGACATGTCAGCTTGTGTTTAGAAAAATGTTTGAACAATTACTGCGATATTGTTAAAAAGGTAAATTTGTTCTATAAATAACAATAATGAAGTATAATTTGTAAATATCAATCAGTGTAGGTATTAAATAAGTTGATTCTAATCTTTTGAATACGCCTAAGATGTTGCAGTATACGGTAGATATAAAAATTATTATTACAAACTGTTTATGAATTCATTATAATTATAACGGAAGATAAAATTTTATTTAGATTATACTCAAACACAGCATATCGGACGTTCCTCCGTAAAAGTATAAAGGAGGCAAGTTTAGCACCTATGTCTTTTTGAATACGGCTGATTCAAAATTTTGGCTGCGAAGATGTGCAGGCCGCCTGGCGCCTACAAAACGATGATGAATGTTTAACGATAAAAATGTGCATCTGTCTCGCTCGCGTTTACAACTTTCATTCACTAGCTATCATAGCCTACGCCTCGCTGTTTAAAATAATATCACCTATTTTTAATTTTACGCCAACGCCGTAGGATGAATTGTTTTCCAGACGGTGGAAATAGTCACCCAGTATAATATGTTTAAAAACAGCATCACTGAATTTAACAAATTCTGTAAGATTTTTGATTTCCAATATTTTTTTTACAACTTCTTTGTATTTGAAACAAAAATAACTGCAACAAGTAATATTTGGACAGGACTTAAATATCACAGACTGAACTTTAAATGTACAAATTTCATATTATTTCATATTACAAATGGCCAGTTCCATAACCTTTTTCAGGCTTGTGTGTAGAAGGGTGTCCGAGTATGTGAAAGTGACTCTTGTGCATGGGTGTATAACATAATGTGTGTGACAGTGTGTGTGCGAGTGCGTATGTGTGAGTGCAGACGCGTTTGTGTTTGAGCGTGTCAGTGCATCCGTGTTACCTGCAGGCGTTCCAGGTCGCGGGAGAGCTGCTGCAGCAGCGCATCGTACTCGCGGTCGAGCTGTGCCTTGTGCGCGTCCACGTCGGCCTTGCAGCGCTCCTCTAGCTTCAGCAGCGCCGCCTGGTGCTCACGCCGCATCCGCTTGTACCCGGACATCTGCTCGTGCATCTCCTAAACAACGACAGAAAAACATTTTAAAACTATCAATAATAATGATGGTATACCACGGTCACATTTACAAAATGATTTTGATATCTATGAATTACACAGAAGATTAAACAATTTGTACATACTCACGAAGAGACGAAATAATTTGTGGTTTTTCGTAAATAAATAAGATAATTGTATCTAAAAACCAAACATAATTTTAGTATTTGTAGTTCAGCTCAGGCAACATGAAAGTCAACTAACGATAAAACGATAAGTGAAGAAGAAAAAGGAGACCCTCATCAACCCATAATTATAATTAAATACTAAACAATAATTTGCTTACATGGTTATGTTCTTTCTGCTGCTTTGTGACGATGCTGGTAGTTCGTATTGTAGCAAAATTGTTTGCACCATGTTCCGATACAAGTGATATTGCTGCCGACACATTATTGCTAACACCTAGAAAGTGTAACAGTAAACATTTGAGTATTTATTCCATTAAATTGTAAAATCGTAGCAGTTAAGTTAGAAATTAGAAAGAGTGAATCTTTCTCCGTGTAATAACAGTGTAGGAATATCTGCTACCCCATAGTAGTGTGTCTTTTCTAATATTGATGGACGGTGAAAGGTACTTTGCAAACTAGATGCTATAAAACAATTTTTTTAAATATATCATTTTATTTTATTACTATATGCTATATCTAAGAAAATTAGAAATTATCATCTTCAATATAATGAATTTCCATAAAGTAACAATTGATTGTAATAAAAAATTGTATTACACATATTATGAAAAAAATTGTATTACACATATTTATTGAAACCAAAATATTGGATTTTCACACTTTGCGTTCATGGATATGGGACATATTCAGCCTTATGCAGATCATGGTAACAAAAGCACGTCTTTTGTTTTCATAGAAAGGCGTAAATATGTTATTTAGCAATGACATTAAACGGCTGATGATTTATGACGAGGAACAATTGACACTCAGTGATTTAAAGCAAAAAGTAATGTTTCAATGCAAAACGCTGTCCTTCTTACATAGAAAAGTCTCTAGAATCTCTGTTTTTACCTCCTCTCTTCAGAGAAACCTGGCGCAGGACCAATGGTTTTACGTGCTTTCCAAGGCATGTGAGTGAAACACTACCAACTTCCTAGACTCCAGGTTGATCATGAGAATTGCTTGATAGAAAAACACATTAATTGATTTTAATATGACCCAGGATTAACCCTGGGACCAGTTAATCAGTAATGCAGTTGTGCTTATGATCACTTGACCAACGAGGCAGCCAAGCTAGGCAAAATCCATTAAATTGCTACCTAGTGTATTTGTTCTTACAATATAATTTATTTATCAGATATCTAGGTTTCTTCACAGCATTTACAAGTAGAATAAGCTGTCAACCAGTATAAGATTTTTGGTTTTTTTGTGTACCATAAAATTTAAGGCAAGCATCTAGCATCAGAACTACTGTAGTAGTAAAATAAATGACAAAGGATAGCCTTTTCACTGGAAAATGATATTACATCCACCAATGTAGAATGGGGAATTTAAAAAATAACGAGATTATTCCACATGCTTAGTGACGATATATAAGCAATGCTACAGAAAAATCAATATTAGTGTCAAAATACCAGAAAAAGAGTAGCAGTTTTATATACTAATTACTTTTAGTATTATCGTACAACTCTTTTCAATTACTATATAACTAACAATGCATTGGGTATCAAATTTAACACTTGGAGTAGAAAGTACAAACAAGTATAAAAACATGCGCAGTTTACACACAGAAAAGTGAAATCTTAAGAAAACGAGACTGAAATAATAAGAAACACTGTATGTAGTTTATTTCATTGTCTGGCAGACTAAATTCTATAGATGTATATGTTTGTCTCTTTCGATGGTAGCTTTTTCGTTTCATCGAGTAGCAAATAACAACGATTCTAAAGCAGTTTTCACTTCAAAATACTCACCCCTATGGGTAGCACGGCGCTGGGTGTTCCTGTTGTCGTCTCCACTGTCTTGCTGCCACGTTGACGGCGCATTAACGTACTCCCTATACTCGTTGGCCTGCCTCTCCCTTTCCCTCTCTCTCTGTGCCTCACGTATCGCTTCTCTGTTCGCGTAGTCCTCGCTGTAGTCATCGCATAGAGAATCTCGATTCGCGTAATCCCGCAACGCGTCCCTATTGACGTAGTCGTCGTGTGAAGCCGGCAGAGGGCTCTCACTCTCTCTGCGTACGAAACAGCAACATGAGTAAAACCAGCGCTTGCGTGCTCTGAAAGGTAAGGTTGCGCTCTAATGCGAGAGGTGTAGCTAATGGGATGGTAATAGCGTGACACATACAATAAGCATGAGGGTATGTATTTCGTACAAAAGTCGTGCATTAATTACTAAAAGCTACATCCAAAGCACTAATTTAAAGTATAACTGTATATAGTCAACCAAATCTAAGAAATACATTTTGACAGCTGTCAGACTTATTGCACCAAGCATGCCAACCAAAAAATGGGAATATAAAATATTCGATTCTTAAAAAAATCGATATTGATTATTGAGAGTTGGTAATCATAAACTAACACTAGATTTATCAGGTTCTTCGTATTTATTGTTACTGCTTATTTCTAGAGGCACAGTTATAAAATGTAAGATTAAAACTAGATTAAAAATAAATTTATTCAATCACTTTCAGTACAAGTTGTTGAGCTGTCATTGTTTAGATTAATTGTTTTTTGATTTTCAATAATGCAGACAAAATTAATCTCTTTGGAAGTCATCCATAATATTTTTTTGTACTACCACTTTTGCCCAATGATCAGATCTCAATGATAGTTTTTTTGCCTACACAAATTTACGTTGACAAAGTAAAAAAAAAACTTGTTTTATTCATGATTCATGTAATTTAAAAATTAATTAATGATTCGATTATTTGAATATTTTTTAAAATAAAAATTATGTATCAATTATTTTAATATTTTCACCGATTATTTTTTTTTTTTTTTTTTTTTTTATAGAAGAGGGGGCAAACGAGCATGTGGCTCACCTGATGTTAAGTGACTACCGCCGCCCATGATCAACCGCAACACCAGGGGAATTGCAGGTGCGTTGCCGGCCCTTTAGAAAGGAGTAAGCTCTTTTCTTGAAGGTCCCCAGGTCGTATCGGTCCGGAAAAATCACCGGTGGTAAATTATTCCACAGAGAGGTTGTACGCGGAAGAAAACTCCTTTTGAAACGTACAGTGGTGGACCGCCAAGCATCCAGATGGTGTGGATGGTATCGGGACGTTTGCCGTGTAGTGCGTTCACGAAATTTGGCGGCTGGGATTAATCCGAACAATTCCTCAGAGCACTCCCCGTGATAGATGCGATAAAATACGCAAAGAGATGCAACATCTCTTCGCAGCGCCAGTGAATCGAGCCGATCGGAAAGCACTCGGTCGTCAACGATTCGAGCCGCTCTGCGCTGGATGCGGTCAAGTGGAAGGAGCTGGTACTGGGGAGCCCCAGCCCAGAGATGGGAACAGTATTCCATGAGCGGCCGAACCTGCGCCTTGTAAAGTTGCAGGCGGTGTGCCGGCATGAAATACTGTCCCGCTCTGCTGAGCACGCCAAGCTTTTTAGAGGCCAATTTGGCCTTCCCTTCCAAGTGACCACGAAACTGCACGTCACTCGATATGTCGACGCCGAGGATTCCGATACTGGCTGAGGCAACAAGGGGAGTGCCTTGAAACTGAGGGGATACGACAAAGGGGTTCTTTTTAGCGGTTAACGCGCAAACTTGTGTCTTCTGGGGGTTAAACTGGACTAGATTTAGTCGCCCCCAATCCGAGACTCTGTCCAGCAGAGACTCGACTTCAGACACAAGTTTGTCCCGGCACTCAGAGACGTTTTCCCGAGAAATATTGGCTCGGCCGGTGTAAAGAGCATCACCAGTGCTGTCATCTGCATAGCAATGAATGCTACGGGTTTGCAACATATCATTGATATGCAGAAGAAACAGCGTTGGCGATAGCACGCAGCCCTGTGGAACACCAGCATTAATAAGCTTGCAATCGGAGCTTGCACCGTCTACAACGACCTTGATGCTCCGATCTGCAAGAAAACTGGTGATCCAATCGCACAATTTCTCGGGAAGCCCATAGGAAGGGAGCTTCGAAAGAAGCGCTTTGTGCCAAACCCGATCGAAGGCCTTCGCAATGTCCAAACTAACGGCCAATGCCTCCCCCCTTGGACTCTACTGCCTCCGCCCATCTGTGAGTTAGGTAGACCAGAAGATCACCAGCTGACCTACCACGGCGAAAACCGTATTGGCGGTCACTAATCAGCTGGTGATCCTCAAGGTACCTCATGAGCTGGCAGTTTACAATGGACTCCATTGTTTTGGAGAACAAGGAGGTGATGGCGATAGGCCGGTAGTTGGACGGGTCTGAGCGGTCGCCTTTTTTAGGGATCGGGTGGACGAAAGCCGTCTTCCATGATTTTGGGACTACGCCTAGGGAGTAGGAGTACCGGAAAAGACGCGTTAAAACCGGTGCCAACTCTGGAGCACACGTCCTCAGCACAATTGGGGGGATTCCATCAGGCCCACTCGACTTATGGATATCCAGGGAGAGGAGTGCTTTGCGAACCGAGCGCTGAGTGAACTGCACTTCCGGCATGGAGCACTCACACCGCGGGATGGTCGGCGGCGTACTCCCCCCGTCATCGAGAGTCGAGTTAGACGCAAAGAAAGAGCCTAGAAGATCGGCTTTCTCCTTTGCGGTGTGGGCCAGTGAGTCGTCCTCCCTGTGCAGAGATGGAAGAGATGGCTGACAGAAATTCCCTTGGACAGCCTTGGCGAGAGACCAGAATGCACGGGTTCCAGAAGGAAGACGAACTAGTCTCTCGCCAATTCTGCCTATGTGCTCTGACTTTGCCTTGGCAATGACTCTTTTGAAGGACCTAGAGGCGGAATTATACTTCTTTTTTTAGAGCGCTGGTGTTTACATCCCTGGACGCTGATGCGTCAGCCCAGGCTCGGTAGCACTCCTGCTTATAGCATGATGCTATTTTACAGGAGCGACCAAACCATGGTTGAGATTTGCCTCCAATGGGCACCACAGAGGAAGGAATAAAAAGTTCCATACCCTGAAGTACCACATCAGCGACAGAATCCGCAACAACGTTGGGATCATCCGGCGAGAAGCAAACCCGCCCCCAAGGGTAGGATGCAAAGAAAGACCGCATCCCATCCCAATCGGCTGACCTATAGTGCCAAACACGGCGGCAGCCTGCAGAATGCAACCGCGGTTTCAGCGTGAGTGGCACCACACTCCGGACAAGACAATGGTCCGAGGAGCCTAAAGGGGCGTCAACGGAAATCTGATATCCGTCCGGGTGAGAGGTCAGCGGAAGGTCCAACAGGGAAGGTGCATGATCCTCCACATCTGGAATCCGCGTAGGCGAAGTAACCAGTTTTGTCAGACCATATGCCAAGGCAAAATCATGAACAGATCTCCCCGCATGATCGGTTAAACGTGAACCGAGCCATTCGGCGTGATGGGCGTTAAAGTCGCCGAGGATCACGATCTCTGCGGAGGGGATCTGCTGTAGCAACGAATCTGCAGCCATTTGGACGTGGTCGAAGAGTCGGTCTGTTTCGGCATTACCGCTATGGGACCTATAGAGGCACCCGTAGACGCGCGGATGGTCGTCGCTGTCTACGCGTAGCCAAAGGATGGACAGGTCCGAACCTTCAAGTCTGCCGAGGCGTCGAGAACAGATGTCCTCTCTGACGTAAACGCAAACTCCAGCCCGAGGCACAAAGGAGTGTTCCAGTTTGTACCCCGGACAGGAGAGATACGAGACATCAGCCGGAGAGGACACCTGCGTCTCGGTCAGAAAGAGCAGAGCCGGCCTCGCCGTCTCGAGATGGTAGTGGACGGCGTTTAGGTTAGAGTGAAGTCCCCTGATATTGCAGAAATTCACGGACAGCGTGGCAGGGGTCGCCTTGGTCTTGCTGCTCCGTTTGCCCCGAGCAGTTTTAGTCTTGAGCGGAATATTGCCCCCCCCAGAATACGCGGGGCAGCCTGAGCACCCACGCTCAGAAGTGGAGAAACATGGTCGTGGATGCTCAGCGAGGGATTCTCCAGGGGTGCTGGTACCCTCCTGGGGTAGTCTATCATTTAATTCCGCTACCATGTTGATGGGGGGGGGGGGGGATTTGGGCCTCCGGCCACCTGCACTCACCAGACGAAACGCGGAAGCAGAGCTTCCACTTCACGCCGGTATTCTGTGAGGTCGTGGTACCACCCCGGTTTGAGCCGGCCCATACGTGCGACAGCAAAGCTGCCGCGTGGCTCTACCACTGTATAGATATTTGAATATTTTTGCCGATTATTCGCATAACAATGAATTTTAATCATCCAAACACTACGGTAAAGTACATAGCGACATATCATTGAAACGACGTCAAGTAAAAAAGTTGATACTGGTTATTTTTTAATATTTTGCTTTATTTGAAAGATGTAAATTAGTGATAAAAAGCTATACACGTTATAATGAAATATAGATCACTTAATAATTCTTCGGATTTACGTAAAAGGTTATTTTAATCGTGCGAGTACACTTGTGCAAAGTTATTGCTGAATGATTAATGTGAAATGTCAAAAGGTATTTCTTAGATTTGGTTGACTATAGTAAAAATATAGTAAACGACAAATTATTTTGTGGGTATGTATACTAGTCATGCACGAGCCAAAGAAAATAAAAAATATACCTGGCAGAATGAGAAGAATGCTGGTGATTGAATTGTTGGTATTGCGACTGTTGTTGATGCTGCCCATGATGATTGGCATTGATCTGAAACAGTGTTTTGTAATTTTATTAATATAATCAGGTGTTACTTAGCTCAAATCCATTATATTAAAGATGTTAAATATTAACTAGCTAATATCAGCTTGAATGAAAATTTTCACACATTTAAGTACTATTACTAAAAGTTTTCATATTATTTAAGATAACATTATTGTAGACATTAATACAAGATATTACATTAGTTTTAAGTTTTTGTTTGCTGCATATTTGGGGTGAATATTTTGCTCCAACTATTTTCTTAGTTTTCCTTAAGGTGGTCCTAGTCGATGGCACGAACTAAGTGGTGGGCGGGGTTAAAATGCATGCTATCTCAGCTGACATCACGTGCGAAAGCGAAAGGCATGATAATTTACAACAAAACGAGCGCGCGAAATTTTATAAACAGACCTTTGGGAATCTGGATATCATAAAAAATCTGTAGAATGTATCTGTTCAAAATAAAATTATTTGCACTTTTGAACACCTAATCTATCCCTGTATCGGTCCCCCCCTTTTGTGTTGCTGTCTAAAGTTGGTAACTGTTTCGGAATTTTCGTTCTTCTTATGGTATTTATTTCTGCCCAAATATGTGTTAAAATTAGTACTTTTAAATATATATATATATTTTACTTTTTTGTTTCCATACAGGGCTAGATAATGAGACAAATTGAAATAATTTTTTACTTTAAGTGTAAACCATCAAACAGTGCAGTAATCGCCAGACTACGTTTGTATGGATGAATGAGCGACTAGTGTACCCTTAATATGCAACATAAACAACGCTATTACTAAAGTTGAAAATTTCATATATTTTTCATTATTACGATATTCCTGGAGCATAGACCTCTTCATAGCTTGCTAAGCTAGTTTAAGCTAGTAATGAAGAACCACATCTTTTCTTTTTCCAACAGGCCATAAAAGTTCACTGCTGGACACGAACTTCTCCTATTGTAAGGAAGATTTGCCTTAATCATCACTCTTGGTAGGATTGACGATCGCAGTATCAGAGGTTTCGCACCTTTGAGACTGCTCCCCACTCGGCCATCTGCCGGCCTGGAATGTATCGATTATATGTAAATAATCATAATATAATTATATATTCACGGGATGAGGTCTTCGCCGCAGACTGCCAGAGGAAGAGCTCTGGCTAGAAGCACCAGCTACGCTGTGCTCAGAAGTCGCCGAATTGGACTTCGAGCTGTCACCACCAGATCGCTCTTCCGCCGTTTCTTCACTGTCTCCTTTACATGAAAAAAATGGGATACAAAGTGTGAATAGAGCTTTGTAAGTTCAGTGCAGCTAGTCAGTAGTTATGACATTGTCTCAAGAAAGAAATTGTATACTTTATTAGTCCATAACAGTCCAATGTTGCACATGGATCTATACAGTGAGAGAAATGAGCTGTAATCGAAACAGAAATTTGTGACTGCAGTGTCACATATCTCTCACACTGTTGATGGTGCTATCTAGCACCTATCTAAATATTTTACATTTAGCATTTACATGAATTCTGTTGACGTCATGAAGACTGTGAGATTTGTCTACGTTAACTATTAATCTATATACATATAAGAAAATTGTGAACAATTTCTTTGACTGTTGTTTTGTGTGTTTGTGTATGCTAATCTCCATATTACCAAAACCAAATTTTATTCTACTTTAATAGATCTATCACAAATAATAAAAAATGTCTATTTTAAAGTGATTCTTACGCATGCTCAACGCGTGTATAGGTCTAAAAAAATTCTTTATACTTTATTCCGCAATCGCAGACCAGATGACTGAATATAACTACTCAAGTGCATATCACAATTTATAGAACAACAGAATTTGCTGTTATAATAATTAGGTATATACAGTATGGAAAATAATAAGATACATCAGTAACTGAATTTTAAAACGACTTTATAGAAGTGATAAAAATTAAGCTACTACAACCAAAGAAGCTTCCCTTGGATCTTGGAAAACTCATAATATGCAATAAATATTTTGAAACTAGTATTCTAAAGCCCATACCTTAACTGAAAACATATTAAAAAAGTTGGTTTTCAGTCCCTCAGCAGTAGCATAGATTCAGTTTCACACAATTTTTGGTCGGACTAATTCCATGCATGCAAAATATGCAAAATATTACAAAAGACAAGACTAAATTACTATAATTATAATTAGCCTTTTTTAAATAAGATTTGTTTGCAAATTAATCTGCAGTTCTTGTAAGTGAATTGCAATATTTAAAAGAAAGGTCATATATTGTTTACATGGCTACCTAGATATTGCTATAAGCAATACAAAACAATGTGTTATTTTTTTAATACATACCAAAGGCACTCTCGTTGTCTGCATCTATCATTAATATCTTTTTCATCTTTCTGTAGCTGAGGTTATCTAGGTCTCGCACAGCAGCCTTCGTCCTCTGTATTAAATCCACCAGCACATTAGGGGAGCGCGGCCTCGTTATGTATGGATGGGACAACAATTTTGTGGAAGATGGTCGGTCTTGAGGATTTTTTTGAAGACAGGCTTCAACGAAATAACGAAAAGTATCTGTCCATTCAGGAGCCTGAAAAAATTTAATAATATTATTGTAACTTTTTCACAATTTCTTTTGCTGTATAATGGTGCCACAAGCAATTCTGTCATCCTATCTTGTATTATAGCAACCGTAAGAGAAAATTAAAAAAAAACATTCTCCAATCTCCAACAGATAACAGAATAACTGTGAAATAGACTTGATCTAAAATATTTGACCTTCAGTAAGGAATAGTACAGATGCTTTAACTCACAAAGGTGGGTGAGCCTTACTTGTAGTTGTGAAGCATATAGACACGAGTACTTGTGTGCATAACAACATGTGTTGGCAAGCTCATTGTAATAAAATAAAATAATATATGTTACTTAATAATGATTAGCTATGTAGTGAAATAAAATTATTTTCATTTACAATAAAAAAAATGATCTTCATGACTATCGTCACTACAGCCTATCAAAATTACACTGCTAAACATAGGCCTCCCATAGATTGGTTCATAGGTGGGATATTCGCTATAAATGCCACGCTAGATAGGTGGGTAAGAAATCGTCTTTTATTAGGTCACTGTAAACAACTTTCGTTAGTATATAGTTTATAAACTTATCACTGTCGAGCTTACTCACACTAATACAATGTGCATGTGCATGTCGGCCTGCACTTACAACTTTTCTTTTATATGAGAGAGGGCAAACGAGCATGCGGCTCACTTAATGGTAAGTGACTACCTCTGCCCATGAACAACTGCAACACCAGAGGAATTTCAAATGCGCTGCCGGCCTTTTAAAGAACTAAGACTAGCCACACAGTGTAAAATAAAACATCTATATAGTGGCAGAAAATGTCTAATACATCAATCTACTGACCAAACTACTGAAGAGTGGTGAAAGTCTTTTTACAATGAGATATGCTATATCCAGCAGTGGACTTTTAAGGAATAAAAAACAGTAAAATTAAAAATTAACTTAATTTGATAATGCGGCGTTCATCAAGTTTGTTTCTTTTAATTTTATTTAAATGACCAGTTGCCATAAAATTAGTACTATAGTTTAAAGATTATGACAAAATAAGAAAGTATAAGCAGAAATAACTTACTTGTAGTGTTGGCGAATCATTCTGAGCTATATGATAAAGTGCTGACATGGCATTCATATTGAAGTAAGGGGGCTTACGTTCCGCCAACTCGATGCACGTTATACCAAGAGACCACACATCCACCTAAGAAATAATGAAAAAATTAATTTAATAAACATTTCAATAACATCACCATTTAATAGTTTGGAATTACAATTTAAAATAAAAGAAATGGAACAGGAAATAAGAACTGTTGGTTTAAGAGGCTGCGATGTTCCCTTTTTTTTTTTTTTTTTTTTTTTCTTTTTATTAGGATTACCAACGATTGATACATTATTACATCATTAATTAAAATTTACAGTTTCGTTATTTCTAAATGTACAATCACTTAAAGGTAATCACAACATGCTATCAATTTACATTTTAGTACTATATAAGGTATCTAAGGAATTCTTATTTTAAATAATTTGATATTGTATGAACGAGTGCGCGTGCACGTGCGTGTGCGTGTGTGTGGGTTTGTGTGTGTGTGTGTGTGTGTGTGTGTGTGTGTGTGTGTGTGTGTGTGTGTGTGCGTGCGTGTGTGTGTGTGTGTGTGTGTGTGTGTGTGTGTGTGTGTGTGTGTGTGTGTGTGTGTGTGTGTGTGTGTGTGTGAGTGTGTGTGTGTGTGTTACATAGTATACAAGAATTCGGAAAACATTTCCCAGTGGCATAAAAATTAAAGTTATTGATTGCGGTTCTACCTTCTGATTTACTACATGTTCGGCGATGAACAAAAATATCGTGAGACAACCAGCATGGATGGAAGAAAAAAGTATTGACCTAATAGGACATGTCAAGTCTGTTAACAAGCATTGAGGAGTCGTGGCATACTCTTACCTCCAGGAAAACCAGCTCAGAAATAAAACGAAGTCTGTACCCCAGCAATAAGAGGTTATTATGTTACTACACAGAGGCTGTTATGTTGTATGTATACAATGTGTTCGGTTACCGGTGTCGGAGCTTTTAATGCTATAAAATATAATCAATTTCATTATTCATTATGTTTTTGGTTAGGAAATGTTCTGATCTATCTGATTAATGTAAAATATCATTAGGTAAATGACTTACTTTTTTCATTAAAGTCGAAAATGTGAAAAAGTAACCGATTTTTTTTACATTTTTTTTCTTTTCTAAGTATTTTTAGGATCTAAATACAATTTTGCAGTTAAAAGTTTTATTTTATTTTATTACGCGTATCTTTATCTATCCAATGAGACATCTTTTAAGAATGTAGGACTTCTACATCGGTGAATATTGTAATTTTAATGCGCGGGGTTGAGGTGGTGACACTGAAAAATTTAAATGGCTGCCATTTAAATACAGCTAGGTTTAAATGAGATTTGACATGATTTGTCGATGAAATTAATTATATTTTATAGCATTAAAAGCTCCGACACCGGTAACCGAACACATTGTATATTGTAAAAAGACTAAAACATTTCATGCAATAGTGTTTAGCAACTTATTAGATTGCTTATGTTATGTATTTTACCATATTGTCCTTCGAGACGGATTCACATTTCATTAATTATTTTAACAATTACCAGGCCCTTCTATGTAAATACGTAAAAATTCATAAATAAAGAGAAATATATTTTTAGTAAATGTATCCTTATGGCAACAATTTGTTTAACTAGTAGAGACACATTGCAGCTATATTTTAGTTGCAGCACGATTGATTCGGTTCGACCGGGGAAGGACTACGCTCTCATATAATGAGCATAAAATAGCAGCATACTGTTTTATAAGGTGAGTTTAGAAAATCGTAGACCTTAAACACTGCAACGAGGTATGACAATGCATCTACTTACCATCAGGTGGACTGCATGCCCATTTGTCACCATTATACTTTAAAAAGAAAAAAGTTGATATATCTTTGTAAATAGTTTACAAGCCATTCAAAACAAATATAGTTGAAATGTATTTAATTATTTTATAATAATAATAAATTTTGTATTATATTCGTTTTATAAAGTACATGCCTTAAAAACTAGTAGATTGGAACCTCCATTTAAGCAAATAATGTAAATGTAAATGTGTTTGGGTCTGCCCTTCCATTACTATATCCATGTTTTTTTTAAACGTTACCCCTATACTAAGATTTTCTCTTGTATCGTAGGGGCAGTTTACAAACATAAATTGCACAAGGACAAACATCCAGACCCGGAACAACTATTTGTAGGCCATACAGGTACAAATATTTGATCTGTGCAGTATTCGAACCCGCGACCCCCAGCGCAGCCACTCATCGCTAAGCCACTGCGCCACGGAGTCGTCAGTGTTACAAGGCTGTATGGGTAAACATATTCTAAATTCCATATTAATGTTATATAATATGTATTACTTAGTTAAAACTACTTTTACGGCTTTTGTCGCGTTTAATTTAAATTATTTTAAATGAGTTTTGGGTGCTTTTCAGCACCAATGGTCACGGGGGACTAAGATGACACAGTCATCACCAGAAACGTCGGGAATTAAAAATCATTTACTTACTGATGATAATTTCAACAATATCACAAGTCGACAAGAAAATAAAAAAAAATCTTCTGTTATAACAAGATGCCCATGTCAATTATTAGAAGATGGAAGAGGAAATATTTCATTATAATGATTAATCAAATAGAAACATTTAACTCCTCAACTGTCGTCTTTACAAACCTTCCCATCATACTGTCCCTCGTCCATCGCCAAAATAACCTCTGGCGCCATCCAATACGGAGTGCCCACGAAACTGTTGGCTGGACATTTAATGCTTGCACTACCGAAGTCTGCCAGCTTGACTGTGCCATTTTCAGTGAGCAAGATATTTCCAGCTTTGATGTCACGATGAATTCTCCCAAGACTATGAAGATATGATAGTCCGCACACAACTCCTTCACAAATCGCTGCAATTTCTTCTTCTCTCAAAGGCCGTTTGTGAACCTGTGACAGTTAAATTCACAATTATATTCATTAAATTGATTTTAAAAGAACACTGGTTATTTTTGAAATTTACCAGTTCTTAAACTTACCAAAAATATATCTTCATCCTTGTAATCAAAGACAAAGAAAAGTTTCCGTATATAATTTAAAAACTAAAATTTAATAAATAATAGATATATTTTATTGTTGATTTTATATAAACAGTATTTTAGTATTTTAGTATTTTAGTTCTCAATCTATTCATTAATTTATATTAAATTTGACATTTATTGACTGACCACAAACAAGAGAAGTTATGATTTTAGCAGTGGATGTTTTACATACAGTATAAAGTATCAAAATTCCTAAGCTGATGTTTTATTTTTATGACATTCAATCTACTAGATATTTGTGCCAACAACAACTTCATATGCCAAGCTGAGAACCTTTAATAGATTGAAAGTATATTAACTGGAGGACACAAATTTCTATGTATCTTTAGTTGCCAGTAATTATTTTTCTAATGTTTTATTTATTACATATGATATTATATTATATTATTAATTTCACTATTTTCGTTTCATATTTTTATTTTATTTGTTCTGCAATTATTTTAACTTTATTTTTATTTTAATTTAATGTGATTTATTTGGTAATTAAAACAGCCATGGACATTGAACATGATCAGCCGTGTAGTGGCGGTTGAGAATATCCACTACCCCATATCTTCCCGTGGGTGTCGTAAGAGGCGACAGAGGGACACAGAAAGGAGATGGGCAGCAGCATCTTCCTAATAACAACAATAACATAATAAAAAACTGCGGTTGCCAATCCGCTCGCTAAGCGTAACAACTATGGCAAATGTCCCCCATGAGCAACGACGCAAATAAACGGCCCCCAGTCCCCGGCGGCCCCGCTATTCCTGACTACGGTGGCGACCATGGTATCGGCGGGGCAGGGGGTGCTAAGAATCTCCGGTGGAGGTTCGGTTGCCACCTACGACGACTGGACCTGGCAACGTATAACGCACGCACCATGAGGACTGACGAGAAGATACTGGAGCTGGAAGAAGAGGTAGACAAGTTGCGATGGCATATTATTGGATTATCTGAGGTCCGAAGAGAGGGGGAGGACACGGTAATCCTCGAGTCCGGCAACTTGTTCTATCACCAGGAGGGCGACCATCTGTCCTAAGGAGATGTCGGACTTGTCGTCCACAAGTCTCTCGTCAACAACGTTGTAAAGATTGGGAGTGTGTCGACGAGGGTCGCGTACCTGATACTCAGAATCACCAAACGGTATTCGCTGAAGGTCATACAGGTCTACGCACCAACCTCGGCACATCCCGATGAGGAGGTGGAGGAAATGTATGAGGATATTTCTAGAGCCATGCATTCCTCCAAAACCCACTACACGGTGTTGATGGAAGACTTCAACGCAAAACTAGGCACAAAAGAAGCCGGTGAGCTGAAGTTAGGGAAATTTGGAGTAGGGCAACGGAACCGTAGGGGCCAGCAGCTGGCTGACTTTATGGAGAAAGAGGGACTCTTTATGATGAACTCTTTCCTCCAGAAGCGGCCCCACAGGAAGTGGACCTGGTCGAGCCCCGACGGTTCAACAAAAAATGAGATTGACTTCATTATGACGACCAGACGCCAACTGTTCAGTGATGTCTCAGTGATCGCAAGGGTGAAAACCGGCAGCGATCACCGAATGATTAGAAGCACACTGAACCTAAACGTTAAGTTGGAGAGGTCTCGTCTAATGAAATCAACGCTCCGTCCCCCTCGTGCTCTAATCCAGAATCCCGAGACTTTTCAGCTCGAGTTACGTAACCGCTTCCAGTGCCTAGAAGATTGCAATGCAGTGGACGATATGAATGACAAGCTCGTGGAAACTGTCCGTGCGGTCGGAGCTAAGTTCTGCAAGACCCGCCGCAGAAGAACACAAAAACTCTCCGATCACACTCTTAATCTCATGGCTGTTAGACGGGAGATGAGGCTGCAATCGTCAACAGATTTGACATCATACAGGCAACTGAACAGACAGATCTCCAAATGCATGCGGCGAGACTTACGCAACTTTAATACTGCTCGTATTAAAGAAGCGATCGAGCGGAACCAGGGCTCCAAAGTCTTTGCCAGAGATCTGTCTGCCAGAAAGAGCCAACTGTCAAAGCTGAAGACTGAGTGTGGCAGCATCGTTTCCGGGACACCTGAGATTTTGGGTGAGATTAAGAGGTTCTATGGGCAGCTGTACACTTCAGCGTTGGAGCCACACGCAAGTGTGAGTAACGATCCAAGAGCAGGTCTTACCCGACACTATTCCGATGATATCCCGGACGTCAGTCTGAGCGAGATTAGAATGGCTCTCCAGCACCTTAAAAACGGCAGGGCCCCAGGCGAGGATGGAATAACAGCGGAGTTTCTGAAAGCGGGTGGAACACCGGTACTTGAAGTCCTTCAGAAGCTCTTCAATTCCGTCCTCCATGGTGGCACTACTCCGGAGGTGTGGAGCAGAAGTGCGGTGGTCTTGTTCTTTAAGAAAGGCGACAACGCTCTCTTGAAGAACTACAGACCGATTTCCCTTCTGAGCCGCTGCAGTCCCTTCAGCGGTGCCAAGTTGACTGTCGGTATATCGAAGTGCTGAAGTGTTTGTACAGTAGGGCTACGATGGCTATCCGAGTACAGAACCAGAGTTCGAAATCTATCCAAGTGCAGAGAGGTGTAAGACAGGCTGACGTTATATCCCCGAAACTCTTCACCGCTGCGTTGGAAGACGTTTTCAAGCTACTGGACTGGAAAGGATACGGTATTAACATCAATGGCGAGTACATCACTCACCTTTGATTTGCCGACGATATAGTCCTTATGGCAGAATCGCTGGAGGACCTTAGCACTATGCTCAATGACCTCAATGGTGTCTCCCAACGGATAGGTCTTAAGATGAACATGGACAAAACAAAGATCATGTTTAATGTCCATGTCACACATATGCCGGTAGTTGTTGGGAGCACTATGCTCGAAGTTGTTGACGAGTACGTTTACCTGGGACAAATAGTCAGACTAGGTAAGTCCAACTTCGACCGAGAGGTCAATCGACGGATTCAACTCGACTGGTCAGCGTTCGGGAAATTACGACACATCTTCTCGTCAGCTATACCTCAATCTCTGAAAACTAAAGTGTACAACCAGTGCGTGTTGCCAGTGATGACTTACGGATCTGAGACGTGGTCCTTCACTGCTGGCCGATGAGGACGCTCAAGGTCGCTCAGCGAGCTATGGAGAGGGCTATGCTCGGAGTTTCTCTGCGTGATAGACTCAGAAATGAGGATATCCGCAGTAAAACCAGAGTGACCGACATAGCCCAACGGATTAGTAAGCTGAAGTGGCAATGGGCCGGCCATATAGCTTGAAGAACCGATAACCAATGGGGAAGAAAGGTTCTCGAGTGGCAGCCTCGTACCGGTAGGCGTAGTGTAGGGCGACCCCCAACTAGATGGAGTGACGACCTGGTAAGACATGCAGGAAGTCGGTGGATACAGGTGGCTCAGGACCGTGCTTTGTGGCATCACTTGGGGGAGGCCTATGTTCAGCAGTGGACTTGTGAAGGGCTGTAATGATGATGATGATGATATTCGGTAATTTAATGTTATGTGTTTTAATTGAATAGGATTATGACTTAAAATAGATAATTTTAACTTAATGTATCTAATGTTACAAGCGTGTTGGATGCTACCATCTGTTAGCTTGTAAGCATGTATCTTATAAATAAATAAATAATACACCTTCTTCAAGATTTTAAATTTCTAAAACACATTGTAAGCTTTGTCGTTTCATGGTACAAGCAAAATAAAACTAGGTTTAAAAGTCAAGAGATAATATTGAATAAATATAAAACATTGTGAATACATTTGCCTGTAACAGGATACATTCTAGATTACATTTTAAAAATAAAACTAAAGAAACTCTCAGTGAATAGTAAACTATGTGGTGTTGTCACTAGACAGTGAAATCAGCAATATAATTATTAGTGGCTCATTGACTTTCACTTGCGTGGGAAGCTCTATGACAATGTGTTCATTTCTTTTAAATACACTCTTCAATGGAATCACTCTAAACAGCATTACTTTCCCACAGTAATTGTTCACCCATTCTTTACATAGTGTTCCACTATTTGTTAAAAGTCATATAATGAAATATTATTAAAAATTACAATCAAAACCGCTTTATTACTCTGCTGATCTATGCACTAATTAATGAAATCAGCCAGTAAATACCATTTATATGCAGTGTTAATAATCACAGTGTAAAAGTCTACAGCTTGGTATGAGTAAATTTTTCATGTAATACTTGTTAGCTGACGCATACTTGGCAATGGGTTTTAAAAACCAAAATATTCCATTTTGAAATTTATATAAATTATGAAGGCAGTGTAACATCCTCTGGTAATGTATACAAGCACTTGTTAACTGTGCAGGAAATATCATAGTGCCGTAATTATTAGTGTTCACAAAGGCTCATCTTAAGCATCCTGTATCAGATGTAAGACACAAGTGTTGACAAAGTGATCAAATGAAACATGATTTTCTTAAATTGTATACATTTCTAAGGAACCACTTTGTTTGTAAAGTTTTGAATACTCAGTAGGTCGAAGCTCGGCTAAGCAGCGCTTTGGTGCTGCTGGTCGGAATCACGAAACAAGTGTGTACTAATTACAGTTAATGTTTCTGGGTGTTTTTATACAAGTGCAATTTATGTAAAACACTTTCATAATAAAGCACAAACGAAACTAATTTTCGCAATAATTTTTTAATAAACGGGAGAGAATCCATCATTTCTTTTCTTCTTTCTTTTTTATGATGGTTGTGATAATTCGCCAATGTAAGCGTGAAAGTGTTTATTGAGTAGAACAGCTTAGCAGATACAAATATGTCCATGTACGAAAGAAAATCGTAATAATACAAGTATCTTATATTTCCTTAAATCAATTTTTTCCCCTTTTTTAATTCTAATGATGATTGATGACCGTTGAATTACCTAAAATATGCTTGGTGGTTCCCTCATCTATCATTCCTATTTGACTTGAGGGTGTCATAGGTGCCATTTACATAATAGTAAAATGTCTAAAAACCTAAAATTACTATCAGAATTATTTTATTGAAAAATGTGACAAAGATCATTTATTAATTTTTACATCTCTTCTATAACATTACAATGTCAGAAATTTTTTGTATTAATAATATCTTTTAATCGTGTCAGCCAACAGTAATAGTAAAAAGTTATGTGTTAAACAATGAAAGATAATTATAAAAAAAAGCATGAATATAAAACATCATATGTGTTACATATTTTAAAATAATCTACGATAGATAAGCAATAAAATATAATTTGTCAATAAATCAGCAAACGATCATTTAATTCAAAACTCATACATTACACATTTATTCCGCTAATGACTTACTGATGATGTATAAAAATAGGATGACTCAAGAGATCCTTTTGCGAACCCACAAAGTATTCATACTAATCAGATATTTTCTCAGAAATCAGTGATAACATGTGCAAATTATAAGACTGGTGAAATTTAGGCTGATGTTATTACAGTACATTTTTGCTAAAATCTTATTAACCTATCATTGAGAAATCAAAAAAAAATTTGAAATTCTAATACACATCTAGAATTATTAAATAAAAACATTTACCCGCGACGACGAGGTCCACATAGAACTTAACAAAAAACTACAGATCTATATTAGACATTTCTAAGCTTACAGAAACCAACAGTTGTTGTTGTGTGTCTGTTGTTAGGTTTGTAGGCAAGTCGAAAAACCATTTTTAATTTTTTTTTTACTATTATCTCGAAAACTATGTGTGAAATTGGAAAATGTTTGAAATAATGTTTTCAGATCTGTTAATTTTACATGATAATAATGTATAGAATTCAGCAAAACTAAAAGAGGGAATATAAAGTGCAAGGACCTTTTTTGTGTAAAATTGCAAACCCAAAAAAATGTAATCATAATTTTTTTTGTAGTTCATATAAATTATGACGTAATTATTAAAAACCATAATTTATTTTATATAACACAAAAAAGAAGTATTTGAAATAATTAGGTCTATTGCATTATAAACATAACGCGTTAATTCTGCCAATTAACTACAATTTTTCATTTACTAAAAACATCTTCATAAACTTACACAACATATAGTTGTATAGAATAAAGTAAATAAAAACAGCCTACGTCCGTTGCACAACTAGTTACAGGTTTTATCCGATTCCTGGGTTTTAAAAGAAGGGTAATACGCTTCGCAGCCCCAAAGTGTATTGACATGCACCGGCTTTGCCTGGGTGGGATCTATTAATATATAGTAAGTTAGATTTAAGGTTATCATCAAAGACTACACAGTTTACGAAGAAAAATTATGAAACACAAAATATTTTTTTTCATTTATCCAAAAAAAACTTTTAAACTTTGAGAAATATATTTTTCGGAAAATAGCCTCCTGGCTTTGCTTTCTCCTGTACTTGGTTAGCATCGAAGGTTAGGGAGGAAGGAATACTGATGTTTACTTAACATGGTCATCTTAGATTCAAGTCAGAGCAGTTTTTCAACACAGACTTCAGTTTTAATTATATATCTATATGTGAATACGTACATTCATTATATGTTATCTTATAAATTCCCTAGCATAAAGATTAATTACTTCAAAAGCAGATCAACAGCTTACATCATTATTATTATTATCTTAAGAGCCTTATTACAAGTCCATTTACAAAGGTCTCCTGCAAGGAAAGCCATAAAATTCGGTCCAGGGTTAACTGCCACCTCTCGCATCTCTTACCAGTTCATCACTCCATTTAGTGGGGAGGCAGCCCAACACTTCGCATTTACAAGGTTCCAGATTAGAACATTTTTTCCCATAGGCTCCGGTTCTTCGAGCTATATGGTAGCTTACATATCGTAGACTTTTTAAAAATAAAGCGATAGAAACTAAACAGTATGTACGTACATATTTTAGCTCTAACTATATATCTATATGTGATATATTAATTAATGTACAGGAATGTACTAGTGATCCGCCCGGCTTCGCCTACGTCCTACACCTATAAAGGTGGGGTTATATAAGATAATTAAAGATTTTTTTCTAAAATTAATTTATCAATTTTTTGTTTCTCAATAATAATCTCCAAGATTTTCGGATAAAATATAGCTTAGATCACTCCTGGCATTTATCTTTATCTATTTGTACCATAAAGTTAATTTCAATCAAGGATTTAAATGGTTGAAAGACACAATTATTGACTATTATTTTCATAAAATAATTCGGTTTCACATTATGCTGTCTAAGTAATACACAACCGAAATTCGACTTAATATAGCTTATTATTATTTGGCTTCATTAACATAATATATTTAATATATTATGGTAAAACTATTTATACGGATTTTATCACGTTTAATTTACTTATTTTTAGTTCCCGACGTTTTGGGTGTTTTACAGCACTCATGGTAGCCGGGCAGACTGAGATGTTTGACGTCCCAATGTCATAGTTAGCTCAGTTAACTTCAGTTTTTAAATATTAAGTTTGGTTTGATCTATGCAGAAGAAGCTTAAAGTATCTTGAAGTGGTATGCTTAGATTTGGATTTAATTTTGTTACTTATAGGATCCAAAGCAGATCAGTACCCATCCATCTTCTTGAAATTAGATTTCGATTGAAATTAGAATATTTTTTAATCTCAATAGTCTAGCCTATCATCCTTGGTAAAAGTCTGTGTTCTTTTGCGAGGATTTGTGGTATCAAATCTGATGTAATAATGAGAATGATCCTGAACATATTTACAGACAGCAGACTTCCTAGATCGTCAGTGCGTCAAGCATCTCAATCCCCCCCCCCATGACCATGAGTTCTGTAAAGGACCCGAAATGTCGGGAATAAAAAATAATATAATAAAATAGTTTTATTCAATGTGTAGGGTTCGCTTATATAGAAATCATTATATTATGATAATTTCACTAAAAAACACTTATTCATCATATTTCTTACACTCTACTCTATATACAGCATTAGAAGATTTATTTCGCAAATTGGACGTAATGTGCGCAAAATGACTGCAGCTACAACCTAGTAAAATTAAGTTATACAGTTTGTTCGGAAGGTCTGTCTATGTATTATACAAACTAAGGATGTTTTAACTGACCGATTATTAAACCATATATGGTATTAAAAGTATATTTGAAAGCTAAATGATAAGTTTTTTTCTGCCAAGTTCTCTTCCGAATTAACCAAAGTGATTGCAGCAAAGTAAGTATGAAGTACTAAAGCAAGGAGAATTTTACATAAAAACCATGTCAGACAAAAACCATGTCTCGGCGTCCTCAGGCCATAGCGGCCGCGAGCAATTTTTAGTGTGTACTCAACTTAACAAAAAATAATAGAGCTTTATATTTGATATAACTTTCACATGGTTTCATTCCGGAATCTCTCCAAGGTACACATTTATATGTCCCCTAAATGTAGTACAGTCAAAAATATATATGATAATGCACATACGGGCACAAAACCTTCAATAATACTGGCGTTAACTTACGAGTTATTTAATTTTAAAAAATTGTCAAAAAATATTTTACCTCAATAATATCTGAAGCAGAACCAACACAGTACTCCATAACAAGCCATGCCGTATGCTCACGCTTATAACAGCCCTTGTACTCTATTGTATTTGGATGGTCTAACTGCTTCAGAAACCTAAAATTAAAGAACTTTTTAAAAAAGGCATTATTGTTGTAAAGAACATTACAATCTTTATGTCACCTCAACGCAAATACTACATGCTTGGCTACATAAAACCTCAGCTTTTAAACATTAACTCTTTTGCAAGCCATAAACTAAAATTGTATTCAATTCTTTATAATTAATAAAACATATTGTTTCACTGAACATATAAAGAATTGAGTAAGTGCACATTATTTATGAAGACTATAATAAAACTAGTAATCAGCATAACAATTTTTCCTCCATCAATTACTCCGCCTCTCCTACAGATTGTCTCATAGAGGGGATAGTTTTCACACGCAGGCGGGTATTGGCAACCAGTTGTTTAATATTTTGAGTTGTTACCAGGAAGAAACTGCCAACCATCTTTCGTTTCATTTACCTCTGTCGCAACTTGTTCGGCTAATTTTGAGTCTTACAACATTCATGGGACGATATTGGCTAGTAGATATTCTTACACCACCACTACACTTTCAATTTTTTTTAATTGTAGGGTGTATATTCAGTTACTATTTCATAAATATAAGGTAAATTCTATAAATAAATAAATATCATTTAAAAGACTCGTGAGAGATATACTCCATTTTATAGTATGTGAATACTTAGTTTGTCTTCAGTGGGGCCAATAAAATTGTTAATTCTTTATTTTATGCTTACCTGATAGTAAGCAGATGCTGTAGTCCCATAGACATTTACATTTATGCACAGTTAAGAATCAAAATGCGGCACTGTCACCCCTGAGGACTAAGATGGAATACCTCATTTCCAGTAAAAAGAGTTTCTGGGTCTTTACACTCACCGTCAGCAGCATTAAGCTTCTATTATACACTGGTGTTCTGTGAGTGCATGATCCTACCCACGTCGAGGCAACCCATTCATGCCACAACTCTCTACTACATACAAAAAAAAATGTTAAGCGCAATATCGAAGCCATATACATGGCGGTCGCAAGAAAATAAAACTATATATCTAGAAAATATTTTAAACACGTTAAATCTGCCAATTCGCACTGGAGTAGTGCAGCAATTTGTTTGGCTCTATTATTTGGTGAAATTTTGTTTTGTAGTTTTCACCATCCTATCCTGTCTAAATTCATATACTTTTAAATTCAGAGGTGATGAGTGCAAATACTTATAGACTTAATGTAATCCAAATTATTAAAATCAGGCAAAATAACATCATAATCATATATTACATGTCCTAATTGTAATTTGATCTTTTCGGCAACTTTTAATATAAACCAGTACATTTAGTGGTGTGTCTTTCCTTGTGTAGTGGTGACAGAGAAATCCCGCGATTAAAGGAGAGCGGGAGCTACTCCCCAAACTTGGCAAGACAGATCATTCTATTTTATTACACTGATCTTAGCTAGTTAATTTTTAACATCTCCGTATATAAAAATAAATTCTCCAAAATAAAATCTCCGTATATAAAACTCGAAAATGGCTCGTCCTACTTTGATGATTTTTTTTTGTTTGTGGATGGTTGGAATGGATGGTTTAAAAGCTAAATTAGACCCGGTAGTTGGCGCTGTTGTCGAGACCCAGAAATCACCTGTGCAATTCGAGGTGGAGGCTTTAATATAATGTATTTCTGCAAAGTAATGACTAATTCTATTAACTTTTAAAACTCTGATAACAAATAGGGAACTGACATTTACAAATATTATAAGTAAACCTTTATTCTGTATAACTAGGAAGCATAATCTAATTGAATGCGTTCTTACTTTATCTCCTTCAAAATATCCTGCCATTTCTCCTCGCTCTGTTTCCCCAAGTATGACATCTTCTTGATAGCCACAATCTCCTTGGTGAGATTGCAGCGAGCGTAGTAGACCGCGCCGAAAGATCCATGGCCGATCTCACGCAAGTCCTCGAAGATCTTTTCAGGATCATGTTTACTAAATAGTTCCGCGATGTCTGGGTCCTTTAGGCTGCCAGGACGCGGCATTCTCGTCTGCAAATATATATTATTTTTAATTGAATGAATTGATCTTCTGGCGTAATTACTATACGACAAATATTTATTTTGAAATGACGCCATATACATATATAAAGATACTGTTGAGGAGATAATGAACACATTTATACACTCTTATGCTTCGTTTGCCACACCTAGCTTTCACTACCATACATTCAAGTTAGTTAGGGACTAGCACAGCATTGTGAATTGTCCTACGCGCTTTTTTGACACATTTGGACTTCCCACAATAGAGTAAATGGGACCGTTTACCCTGTGTACTGGACTCACTATATAGTTCTCATGTCTATCATCCTTACACATACACATACATCCTGCACAAACTCATACACTTGTTCAAATATCTCTTTATTCACATGTTGTTTTATTTTCTTCTCTTTTAAAAAACCGTCATTTAAATTTAACTTGCATTCAATGTTATTCCCTTTTCTTTTAAAGATATAATTATTATGACAATAATTTGCAACTTGTCCATCAAAGATGCAAATATAACTTTCTCATCGGCTTACAAGATGTATTTAACAGCTAACTTACCCAACGCCATTCATTCAAGGCTGCTGGAATCAAATTCCATTCATACCTCATCACCATAATGGATTTTTTTTTAATAAGAGAGGGGCAAACAAGCACACGGTTCACCTGATGTTAAGTGACTACCGCCGCCCATGAACAACTGCAACACCAGGGGAATTGCAAGTGTGTTGCCGGCCTTTTTGAAAGGAGTAAGCTCTTTTCTTGAAGGTCCCTAAGTCGGTCCGGAAAAATTGCCGGTGGTAAACTATTCCTCAGAGAGGTTTTTATACTTTCGCGATCCCCTCGTTTTATGGCTCTAGAAAATCGAAAAATCATCCGATTTCGATGAATTGTTTTAAATCTTCGTTTTTACGGCGGATTTACGAAAAAATTACAGGAATAAAAAAATATATATTTTATATTGGTATAATCAAATGAAGTTTTTTTTTTCATAACCTATACAATAAAAAGAACATTTAAAAAAAAACATTGAAAAATGTTTGTTAATAAATTTTTTATTTTGGTGTTTTATTGAGTGTAAGATCAAGCGAAGCGAGCTCGGGACTTAAGCCAGCGCCACACTTGACAGAAATTCCGACGCCGAACTTCCGCGGGAGTAAATCCGTTACCATATGTTGCAGCCACACTGAATATTCAGTGGCAGATTATCAGTTGACTGCCAACGCTTATATGGTGTGGTCGTAATGGATCCGATAGAAGTGATGGCTATTTATGAGGCATTAGAAGAAGAAAGAAAAAGAAAGCGTAAATATTGGGTTCATCCCTTAAATACTCTTCGACTAGAAATTGGGCAATTTCATACTTTGTTGGACATAATCCAGATAAAGCATTCGAATATTATTGAATGTCCATACAATCATTTGATGTATTGCTGAATTTAACGAAGGACTATATTACCAAGCAAAATACAAAACTTAGAACGGCTATATCTCCTGAAAAAAGGCTGACCATTACATTAAAGTAAGATAAATATTAATAGTGTATATGAGACAAATTATTTATTATGATTAATCAAATCTTTAATTTTATTTGAATGGAATTGCTGGACCTATTCTGAAATATTTCCTCCATTTCCTCAATTGAGTGTGCTGTTTTAGTTTCAGCTGATTGAATTGGATGAACTTGAGTTTCAATAGATTCGGGTGACTGTATGAACTGTATGGTACACCGGCGGTGACCCATCTGCTATATATGTTGTAGGTGATTGTTCGTATGTACTATAGCTAGGATGGTTGTAAGAATACGTTTGATTATGTGATATTTTGTATGGGTTACGAAATTTGATTTTATAAATCAAATTCATCACTTTGATTCTGAACTCACAATTTTGTCTTTCATTCATGCTCTTGATTTCAGGAAGTAAGAAAAGTAAAAATTTCGTGTCGGCATCTTCAACTTCTTTAAGTGATTGTTGCTTTTAATTCATTGCTGTGTTTGTGTAATTTTAGGTTTTCTTTTTATTTGAGAGGTCCCTGGAACTTCATCAGTTTGAGGTGGACTCAAATTCTCAATTACAGTTAAATTTGCATTACTTGATAATTTATCACAAGAATTTTCATTTTGGCGTTCTATCCGGCTTTTCTCTAGTCTATTTTGCACTTTGATAATAAATTGTTCAGTGTCGAACATCCTGTGCGTGTGCCGTCACCGCGAGTTATCCGCCGAATGTGGCGCGATGCATACAAATACCTGGAATGCGATGTTGTCGATCTTACGCTGACGGAAGATCGGTGCGCGGAGGACGGAGCAGACGCGAGAGCGAGCGGTCCGCCACGGAGCGACCGATCGTCCGCGACGGAACGACCGATCTTCCGCGTAGTGTGCACGCTATTTGTAATTTATATGCAGTAACATATATTGACGTTCCGTTGGGAAAGATCCGCGTCGCAATTTCCGTCAAGTGTGGCGCTGGCCTTAGGGTATCCCGACTCGGACAGGTTAGGTTAGAAGGAGATTGCGGGGTCGAGTGAGCGATAGGCATGAGTCCGATATATCAAAACGTAAGTAAGATAATAATATGTATAAAATTATTATTTTTGACGTTGCGTTTGTGCATTTTTGCAATATTTGTTTGCATTTTGTACATTAGTTTTAATTCAGACAATTAAATGTAAATGAAAATATAGTATAGTAGTTTAAGTTACTTTAGATTTTATAATATATATATATATAATTTATTGTATCATGCAGTAGCGGTGTAGGAATATCCACTACACCACATCATCCTGTGGCTATCATAAAAGGCAACAGAAGGAATCAAATCAGGAGATAGTCAGTGCGTCTTCCTAATAAAGACAAAAGACAGTGTGATATATATACAAGACAGAAATGAAACTTTTGTATTACAGGTAAACATTTCAATTATTCATCAATGACTTTTGAATAGCATAGATCGTGTATATCATCCATTTATTTACATAAAATTATATACATATGTGTCGCAGTGCAATTGTTCATGGGGGGTATATATGGGGGTATATGGGGGTGACGACCTGGTAAGATATGCAGGAAGTCGATGGATGCAGGTTGCTCAGGACCGTGCTTTGTGGCATTACTTGGGGGAGGCCTATGTTCAGCAGTGGAAGTGAAGGGCTGTAATGATGATGATGTGTCGCAGTGCATCATTTTCTTCGATATTAAGAAGAGATGTTATCGGTTTAGTATGTTAATTAGATAATTGTCTTTATGTAATTTTATTTTAATTAAAACACAAACGGTTTTATACTATGTCAACAAAAATTTATTAAAATGAAAATTTACAAAATGTTATTTTACACAAACTAAATTATAAAACTGGACGGCTCCATGGTGCAGCGACTTAGCAATTGAATTCAACACTAAAACCACAGGTTCGAATCCCGCACAGTACAAGTATTGTATGTCCTACAAATAATTTTCCAGATCAGGATGTTTGTCCTTGTACGATTTATGTTTGTAAACCGCCCCCACGATAAAGAAGAAAATCCTAGTGTTCAAAAACTAATAAGAGAATATTATGTTTTTAGGTTTATGCCATCTAGCATCTACTCTACTTACCACCTTGAGAGTCAATCAATTTTTGTTCAATAAAATGACTTTACCTATAGAATGTAGTAGATGGCACTATTACTTAAATGCGAACACTCTTTCTAAAATAAATATGTATACCATGGTAACTGTCTTAAGTAAAATTAATATGTATTAGATTAGTATTTGAACTAAAGACCGTTGTAGTCTTGTAAATGTAATTATACAATGTGTTAATTTTACACTTGATCAAACGAAATGTGCGGATACTAGATAAAAAATTATTGGTAAAAAATAGAATTTTTTTTATGTAAACTATTTAAAAAATAAAAGCATTTTAATTTTTTTTTGGTAAAATTCCTATCCTTCGGTTTTAAATTATTTTCTCTTTAAGTAAACGGTGTATTTTTTTCAAAGTAGTTTTATTTGAAAGTTAGAAAGATAAAAATTAAAAAAACCTACGATATCAAGCAGGAAATTTGTCAAAAAAAAATAATAAGATAATTTTTTTTTGTTAAAAAAATACTTTTCTTTTTAATTTTTGGTCTGTAACTTCAAAACTAGTATGTTGAGATAACCTTTTTAGCATGTTTTATTAAACTACGTAGCTTATTGTACAAGTTCTCCAAAATAACATGTATTCTATCTCTTTTCGTTTTTAAAATAATAATCATCAAACAATAGCAGGTAAAGATAAAAAGAGATAGATCAAGGAAAGGCGAAACAAGTGAGTGAGAGAGTGAATTGTCGTTTGAATGAGATTTGGGTCTCGTTCTCGTAAGGCATGCGCAGGCAGCTTTAGTTTTTTTAAACAGTTCATCTTGTAACATTACCTACTTTGCAACGTTGAATACGCTCACCATTTTTTTCGTAGTTATGCCTTCTACGATAGACTCATTGTCTGCTTGTGAAGTAGCTGACATTCATTACATTTACGGATTTTGTGATGGCAACGCTCGCGCCGCCTCTCGAGAGTATCATTAGCGATTCCCGACAAGACCTGCCGTTGACTACAGGGTTTTCTTAGCAGTACATCGAGAATTAAGTGAAAATGGACTGCATCGCCCACATCGTGAACGTGCTCCTACTGTACTGGTGGATGTGGATGAACAAGTGTTGCGTTTGGTGCACCAAGACCCCACAATTAGTACTCGACGAATAGCACTCCAATTGGGGATTAATCACGTCCAAGTGTGGGAAATTTTGAAAAAGGAATGTTTGTACCCCTTTCATTTTCGAAGAGTGCAGAATTTGCACGAGCCAGATTACGTCAGAAGAAGTGTTTTCTGTTCATGGCTATTGCGGCAAAGACGATTACTCCCGAACTTCTGTGACCGTATTTTGGGACCGATGAGGCAAATTTTAACAGAACTGGAATTACAAATTTTCGAAACCTTCACTTGTGGATGCCGGAGGAAAAAAATCCCTTA